TTGCCTGGTGTAATAACAGAATGCTGTCATGCTTTGTTTACATGTGCACTTTCCTGTGCCAGTGAAGTAAGTAAACGAGTATGCACGTTTGAGTTTTGCACGTAATGGCTGCCATTTTGCTCCAATGCGCAATATCAGTGAACTGTGTTCACATAAACTTTGCCCCTAGGTTGCAGCACTTCATCAATGCCATGTGGGATCAAGATCCAGTGTAAACGCGGCACCATCAGGATCTGATCCCCCTCGCTGGATTGCTCCTGCCAGATCTGATCCTCCTTTGCAGGATCAAGTGTAAACGCAGTGTATGGGTTGTCTATTGCCTGATCTCTCTTTAGTCTGTAACTGTAGGTGTCACTCCCAAAGCTTGGATGTTCCTCAGACTTGGCTCAAACAAAGACCACATTATTGCACAGACGTACATGTATGCCAAAGAATGAAATTATGTTTTATATGATATCACGTTAGAGCTTTACTTTTCAATATCTACACTTCGGCACATTTTATATGGGTGAAACACTAAATGTACACAGATAGGGGCATGCCATACATAATACATGTACATGTATGTGTAAATTGAAAAGATGTGGTGACTACATCATCACCGAATTCAGTTAGAGTTTTCAAGATTTAAGAGGTAAATATCTTTTCACAATATTCGGAAAAAGAAAAAAATCTAAATTCAAACCCTGTTGCACTAGCATTAAAAACTATAGAAATACAGGTACTAGTGTGCGCATCGCTGAGAAAAATACTGATAAGAAAATAAGCATATGTCGGTTCTTTGTGATGTCATTATGTATCAAATATCTGAGGTCCTGTGTGACAGTCATGGAACTTGGTGGGTGGGGGGGATCCTACATGTATGGCAAAATGTTTCCAAAAAGTCAATAATAATAAACTTCATGTACGCGGCCTGTGCATTGCAGACTGACTCAAAGCATGAAGAGTAATTGAATATTTTCTCTAATTACTGCCTTGCATGCTTATTGCACTAGGCTGGTTGATTACAGCCAAGAGGGCTGTCATGATGGAGATAATCTGAAAGATATCCCACTTTCCAATATTGTGAGATCAGTTGCACCTGTCCACCGCAAACCGTCTCTTCATGAACTCATGGACCTCTTTTTTGTTTTGTACTTTTTTACGGGGTGGTTGGTTTTCATTCCAGCTGACAGGGGTGAGATAAGAAGAAAACAAAATATCCACACAATTATCACCAGAGGTTTTCAGGGCTCGGTGGCAGTGTTGGGTCTACGGTTTACACTTTTCTTTGCCTAAAACCATCCCTTAAAATATCCATTTCTTGTTTTCTATATCAACTTTTATATAAGTTAAAACACCATCACAGTAATCTCAGAATTTTCCAGAATTTAAAGTCCTGATGAAAAAAAAAAGTAGGAAAAATCCTGACAAATCTTACCCTTGGTAACTTAATCCAATTTATTGGTAGACATTGGAATTTCATTTTGCACAAGAATAAATAAATATTTTGTCTGCAGCAGCCAATCCTGACAAATCTCACCCTTGGTAACTCAATCCAATTTCTTTGGCAGACGCTGGAATTTTATTTTGCACAAGAACAACTAAATATTTTGTCTACAGCTGCTAATCCTGTGGAAACTACAGCACATGTACACTATGGACTCCGTGACTCTGTGCAGAAGTACCCTAAAGCAACGTCAAGAAGCTAGGAAAATACAGAAATGGCAAAACTGCCTCGCACGCATATGGAGACTGGATTTGCTTGCTCAGTTATAGATGAATATCAATTTTGGGTGAACCATGCTATAGATACACATGTACATAATAGGTCTGTGCATATCGTGTGTGTAAGCCCTGATAGATGTTATTGCAAGGCACAATTTCATTAAAAAGTCCATAATTAACCATTTGAGTCTGGTGTCCTTGGCCATCACTGGAAATGAATAATTCTTTTGAAGGAATAAATTCTCTCTGAGGTTTGTTAACAAATCAGGAAAAATGGGTTTCTAAATTGTAATCAAAGTGAACCTGAATTTGAAATTTTTAGGTACATGGAAAGGAAATGCTTTTTTTGAATGAATTTTTTGCCCTGTAAACTGAGCTTCCAATTTGCTGAATAAAATTCATAAAAATGCTATGATGTCGAAATCTAATGCCATGTACTGCTAAGAGAAATAATGTATCATTCATAACATACCCGATGCGACAGCTGCCTGGCTGCCCTGTCAAATTCAACAGCAATATCTCGAGAGTTCCCATCCCAGTGGGCATAATACATCACAAACGAAAACTCGTTTTCTTCCCTCTGGATTCGGGACAAGGCGCTCTGCATGTCCCCATTGCTGAATTCAAAGACAGGAGAGTCCTTGGGGAAGATTGGCGGAGGGGCAGCCGGTGACTGAGAAGCTCCACTGGGAAAAAAAAATTCCAAGAAAAAAATATTACTGTCAATTTTTAATTTCAAAGTTGAGAATTTTCATGTCAGTGTTTCAGCATCAAATCATTATTTCATTATCTACTGTCAAAAAAATTCAAGAAAAAATATTACTGTCAATTTTTAATTTCAAAGTTGAGAATTTTCATGTCATTGTTTCAGCATCAAATTATTATTTCATTATCTACTGCAATACCTTTGAGCACAGCCAATCACTTAGCTTATTGTAATATCACAAAAAAACTCATGTTACCAGATCAAAAGCGGTTCAATTTTTCATCTTTCTCAGCATAATGTTATCTGCATGTTTATGCCATACTACAGTCTCACAGTTATCAGTAGTGGAATGCATGAACATCAGAACAATCAGAATTTAGAGAAACTTTGCAATGTTCCTTTGTTCATCAACAAAATCAGTCCCCTTGAAGAGAGAACGTCTCCTGAAACATGGGCTTTTTTAAGTAGGCTTGAGGATCCTACAATTGCCTTTGGGATCCTTTGATTTGGCAGACGAAAACATGCTTGGTTGCTGTTTTAAAAATTCTACGATTTGTTTTTGCAGGTGTCTACAATGGGACATTAAGAATGGGGAAAAGACTGCATCAAATACAATTGTCTGCGTATCAGTCTTTTACATTTACGGTACATACATGTAGACTGGTACAAAGTTGATTAAAACAACTGAAATACATTAGCTTATGTGAATGAAAAATGTAGGGAACAAAATGATGGTTGCATGCAGGTTTTTGGATCCCTGCCAATTTGGACAAAAAACCTTTTTGAGAGATATTCTCCTTCTTAGGGGACTGATTTTGTCTCTTATGAAAGGGACTTCTCCGAGTTGGACAGTCTTGAAGTTCTGGTGTGTGCCTCTGCTGGTTATCTAAATTGCAAAATGCATTATTCAAAACATCAAACATTTTCCGCTTATAAATACATAGAGCCCACACATATTAATTTTGCAGTGGTTTATAAGTTATAAGCCACCAGAAAGTGATAAAAAGTCCTGAGAGTCAAATTTAGCAGTGAGAACATTGACATATTTACTTTACAAACACTTGACTTAGGCTAGAATTCTGCAGACCAGTCTCATATCATTTAAGGTTTATGCACAGGGTGTCATCATGCAATGTCCGTGTATGGGGGAACTCTTTCCATACATTTCATGTATATGCAAGAAAGGTATCAATAGACGTGCATGGTAATCCACAGACTAAAGGTCTACTGTTAACTATAATGTATGAAAGTGCAATCCCATCAACCAAACTGTTGATTTATCAGGATACATTATATTTTCGATGAATCAGAGTATGACCAACACGGCAATTCAGAAACATAACAAAATAATGGCAATAAATCACATGAATAATGTCCAACATTCGATTTCCAAATCACCTGTTCTGAGTATACTTCGCGACCACAAGACACAGGAATGCCACAAATAGTAAACTGAAAACTTCGGGATTTTTCCGGACAGATCTGGCCATCGCTTTGAGCAACACGGCGGCGACATTCACGTGTTGCAGGGAAGGATGAGGCCAAGAAAAGGTGGGCGCGCCGATGGCGCTACTGGCGCTGCCAAGATCTGTACCGCCGGTCGCAGTAGATGATGACAGTCCCTCGTCGGAGTGGGGTGACGGAACATCTGCCAGCATAGCGACAGATCGAAGCCGTCCCACATCCACACATGGGACAAGGATAAGCCCACGTCAAAGAGTATTTTTATGCGTCAATCAATTCATCCATTCACAGTTATTAACTCCGATGAATGGGAAACGGCCACGTCTCTCTCTCTCGCATGTAGGCCTAGCGTGCGCGTCCATAGTACATGTACATGTACTTTCCATGATTGTAATTCGAGAAATACCGGCCGATTGGGGGCGTTGCTGTTGCCTTAATAAACTTGTACCAGTACTTCACTTTCTGGATAAGGGATATCTTCGATGCTGGAGTGCAACGCCAAACAAAAATCAATTGGGACTCTAGTAGACTGGTACCCAAGGGTAATGAGTTTTCCTTTAAATTTACAAATACAACACATTGAAAGTGGAACTAGGCGATACATAGACTTGTATAAGAATAAAATGCATTTTATTCTCGTTAACAGCGTCTGTATCTCCGTGGTGACTGCAATATTTATGCACTGCCATATGGTGATGATGCATTGAAACTTTCCAGCGTAGAGTCCAGCGCCGATGCTGTGGCGTACGTATTCCAAGTACCATCCGTAAGTTGTCCAATTAAGTTCCAACGTCTTGTTAGATGTACCAAGTTGAGGTTCAACAAAACGGGGAAGGCACGGTTGATGGTCATAACGTGAAAAACTGCATGCCCATTCTGCGCTGGAACGTCCAGCATGTCTGGAAAGAATGCATCTGAGGCCTGATACCGCTTCATTGGTTCAATGGTTGTGTACAAACTCTAACGTTACAAGAGGAGTCAAGAAATATTTCACTGAAATTTTTCTCAGTCCCAGAATCATGTCTTTCAGCATTTCTGCAGTAACTGACCTTTTGTCATGTTTGTTATTTTTGAGATGCTAGGCCTGTCCTGTATGAAAAAAAAGTGGAAGCAGGATGCAACGTTCCGTTTTGTTTTTCATTTTCATAGAAACGTAGGACATTTGAGGTCAAGACTAGTCTAAAAAAATGAGTGGGGATACAATAAGTTGCCAGACTCTTAGGCTGAAGTGTGATTATGTTCAGTAACTCAGGACCAATAACCAGTGTTTTCCAAATTGAAAATAGTTTAGGCCTACAATGTAGGGCCTGTGGAGTTGCACTCTGTAGGCCCTGTAGTTTATAAGCCACGCTATCCACACATTCACAGTTTGTACTGACATGATTGACAATGACTAACCAAAACTGAGGCTAAATGTGCTTGTGGTATTAAACTCCAGCTGTAAACACTGATTGAGGGCATTTGGAAGTTACTGAAAGCAACTTTTTCTCAAAAAGAAATCACAAAATCAATTTGAAATTATACTTTTTTAATGACAGATGCAAGTCTACTGAATCTGTTAGAGAAAAGAAGAATGTATAGATGATAAGATCTGCAGCCACCGTGACCGTGGGATGTGAAGTGGGAAGGGGGATGTAATCTTAATGTGGACACCATGAAACATCCTGCAGAGAACGTTGAACACTTCGAGTACAATCTCGGCAAAGCACCGGAACTTCGATGTGAGTATGGCACAGTGACCACGTCCTGCGACAAGTGTGAGAGCTGCCGGATACGCAACCGCCTGTCCCAGACACGGCAGTGGTTCCAGCGGGCCGGCGAACAGACCAGGAGGACATTCACACTGGGCCTGGTGCGACGTTTCCACAGCTTCAACCTCCTGCGCTATGCGGTGAACCTCTTGCACCCGCTCATCGGCAAAGACTTCACCTATGCCCGCTCTCGGATGCACCCGAGCGTCGTGGGCGATGGGGCAAGTACCGGACAGGACAGGGCGCTCTGGACGTCAAAAACGGAGCAGACGGTGACTGAGACCTGGCAGTGGTTCCAGCAGGCTAAATACTGGAGCAAAGCCAATTACCTGCTTGGGGTGCTACAGATGTGTAATGGAGAATTGTTGTACAGAATTGGAACTCTGGCCAGAACGATGCTTGCATCGGAAGAGAGGGCCAGTCAAGGAGTTTGCGATGAAGGTATAAGTCAGTGGTGTATAATAATTATCCCATATTCTCATAAGCCGTGACCCTCCATGGTTTAACATTCATGGCTGAAGCCACACCCACTTACCCACACCACAGCCTACCCCCCTCTGGGGAAAGTTTCTTCTACAGGCAAGTGGAAACTGCTTTTGTGAAAATCCCTTTTGTTCCTAAAGTTTCCCCATTCATTATGTGCACAGTTGTTTTTCCAGAGTTGATGTAGGAACATCAGGCAAGATATGCAATCTTTCTTGCATTTAAACTACATGTAATGCATGTACATTAAAAAGGCGAAACTAAGAAACAACACACCCATTTGCTAGTTGTTGTCTAGAGAATTAAAGTGGTGATTTTGGGGAGATGAATGTCTTACTAAGAAGGTTCAAGATAACACCATAAAAATTTTGATTGCAATTTTGGGACACGCGCTATCAAGTTCCAATGTACTGCATGCAGTCTAAAAATCTACTGTTCTTTCACTTTTTGGCATATTGCAATCTCAATAGCTACAATTTAGAGAAACAGTCCTGAAGTTTGACCAAATTGGACTCACATTTGCTTTAGTGTGCATTGTTGGTCAGTCGCAACAAGTCAGCGGAATCCCACATATTGATCCTTTTCCCTCAGTTTGTGCAGTGCCTTTGTGTGTCACTGTGCCTCAGGAAGATGTATTTACCCAGGTAAATACATAAGTTTACCTGGGTCAACACAAGAGAGTTCTTGGTCTACTGCACCCATCAAAGTAGTCAGTCAGTCCACCAGTGGGCGAAATACTTCAAATTTATTTAGGGATTAACGATGTTTGTTGGTGGATCAGCAAGTAATTGAGTCTTGTATGCTTGCTAATCCTCTGTGCATTAACAGAGAGGCTGGACATTTTCTTGATTTTGTCTTTATGTGTTTAATCAGGCATGTCAAGAAAATTTGTCTTCTGCAGTTCAAGGTGTTGAGTAGCAGAAACTGGCTGTCCTTGGAAACTGTAAACAAAAGTCTCCTTATCAGAACATATGGCAAAAACCTAACCAGATATTTTCCTTAAAATGAAACATATGGATCAAGCATTTAAATCTTTTGAAATTTGCATGGTATATTGTTCCACGCTGCTCAGTCCTGAATGCGTAGCCTGAAAAACCTGCATACTGTGGGGGGAAATTGTAACATTACGTCAGCCCTCCAAATGTAACTTGGGATCTTTAGAAGAGAACAATCACAAGGACACAAAATCCCCCCTCAACTTTTTGTCTCAGAAATGTCATTAAATGCAATTTATATTTAAGAAAAAACCAAAACCAAATGCAGCATTTAAATAATTGAAACAAAAGTCAAAACAAGAAAAGAACCTGTTAAGAAACAATCTTTTTTTTGGGGGGGGGGATTTTACAAGAAACCAGTTGCGTTTGTAAATGAAACAATATGAAGAACTGGTTTCACAAGAAGGTTAATTATCACCAAACTCTTCACATTTCCAAAATAATGAGTAAGATAAGCCCCTGGCACACTGACTGAACTTGCACAAGTATGACCATGTGCACCTGACTTAACTCATGTAAAATCTAATCTACACTGTGCATGTTGAAGCAGAGGGCGGAAGCAAGTCTAAATATAAATTTATATTAATTTTCAACATAAATTGGCTCTGCCACAAATGTAGTACAACAGCACCTGTGTTTGTTGATTGACAAGTTGTTTTCAAAATGCTCGTTCTAAATAGAGAGGTAACAATATGTGACCCACTTTGAGAAAATGAGTCTTAAGTCGTCAGAGCCACTTTGGAGTACAAAGTCCTTTTAATAGAATAACTGTGCACAGTGTAAAGCAATAGGAACCCACAGCATTTTTCACCATGGAGTATCCACTTCTATTAGGATGCCAAACTGAGTGATACATCAATAAAAAAAACTCAATTTGCTATTTCCAATACAAATTAAAACTCAAAAAGTGGTTCTGGTGACTTAAGACTTATTTTCACAGAGTGGGTCACATATATATCTGCACTCGACCGGACCGGAAAAAGTGCTCGTGTTAACCGAAATCTAGTGTGTCCAACGCTCGTATTAATGATTTTTGTCCTCACAGGAATGTACACACTTTGGTCAGGATTGGCGAAATATGCTCCCCTGAACCTGAATCTCATCTTATCTGAGCTCGTATTAACAAGAGTCTACTGTATTTAGAATTTTGCACCAAAAATTATTGAGAAAAATGCATAGTGGTACAGTATGAGAGTTAAATTTTAACATTCAGTCTTTGGTGTTCTCTTTCAGATTATGAAAAGGAATCTCTGGCTGACACTGTCTACTCCTACAGTTCCAACACCTACCCTCAAAATGACCTGCTGCGGACAGCTGGCCATGAATATTCATCATCCGTCTGCTGTCCATTTGACTCGTGTGAATATTTGGACTCCGCCCACATCCTTGTGGAGGACGGAGAGGAGGACTCTGAAGCAGCCGGCACAGTCAACTCCTTCGAAATGTCTTCCATTGACCCCACCCTCTGCGTCATGCCCACCTCCCGCTCCGCCCTGGGCGGGGTATGGCACCACCGGGACTTCATCCGAGACTTGCCCGTCCACTTGTCCAAGAGCATCCTGAGCTATCTGGACTACGGGGACCTGGTGAGCTGCATGGGTGTCAGCCGCCACTGGGCACACATCGCCAAGGAGGTGGAGGAAGACTTGAGGATGAGACAGTTGCTATGGGAGGAAGTGATGTTGATGCAGGTAAAGGAAAAGAGTGTCTGGAGTCAAGATGCAAGAAGCTACTAACCACAGCGTACTTGCTGAGAAAAGTAAAGTCTTTATTAGCATTGTAACAGAAACAGATGCCTGGCTAAGTTGTTGTTTTTTCTTTCACTGTATTGCTGATTACATTTTGTTTAGAGATTCCAGGAAAGATTTTCAACAGTTTGTTATTATAAAGTAAAAATTTTTTTACATTTTTGCCCAGAAATTTCATAACATTCACTTGGGATTTTCCTCTCTGTTTTTGAGAAAACCAAAGATCTTTCTGCGTTTTCCAGAATTTTGGGCAGTTAGAGTCCTCAAAACTCCCACCCTTGGAAGTGAGTGATGCCCCAGTAGTTAAAAGTAGAAAAAGCTCAAGGCTTAACATTAATCAATGCCAATTTTTACAGAAGTGATTAATATTCTTGCAAATTGAAGGGATCTTCTGCTCAAGGAGGCAATCCGGTGTTTGCCAGCTACCGCACTGTTCCCGTTCCACGATTGATGGGTGACGGCCTCACGGTAGCTCCTTCTGACCTCCCTGCCATGGAGGTGGATTTTAAGTCAGAGATCAACATGAGCAGCTCCTACAGCGGCATTGTGACCGACAACGTGGAGATGGAAGAGAGGAACGTGTACTGTGGAGCTTATAATGTCATGGTGCTTTCAGATCAGTAAGAGATTGAACTACTTCAATTTTGAAGTTTTATCCCACTGATTATTAATGCAAACTAGTCTAATTAAAGTTGGTGCGTTAATTCTCTGCTGGAGAATTTCACTTAGTTGATTTCTCTGTCTTGACAAAGTGCAGACTAGAGCAAAACTATTCTTAAATAAGAAATGCACCTCCAACTGAAAGGATTAAGGAATTCCAAGAAATAATAATAAAGTGATAGAGTTAAAGCACACTCTGCCATTCAAAACATTGGTCTTGGTGTTGCTATTGAAGTGACTAATACTGAGTGTAAGCAAGGCAAAAAGCGCCCATAACTTTTCTTACGGATATCCGTTGTTGACAGGTATTCCATTGGACCAAGGAAAATTGTACAAAATAACTTCAGCGGTGACTCTATAGAGGTAATATTGTTTTGTTGCAATAAATCATCAATTGTTCTATTGTGTTGTTTCTGATATATGTAGGGATGATTTCAACCGAGTGGTCTCCTACAACTACGGCCAGCTAGTGGCCATAGGATCTTTTGACCGTCATGTCAGATTCCTGGACGTGGCAACAGGCCATGATACCGGGCCAGTGATCACCGGCCATGCTGGATCTATCAAATGTCTGTACATTAATGATCGCGAGGGATATGTTCTCAGTGGAAGCTTTGACACCAGCATCAGGTAAGTATAATTTTCATAAAATTACTAAGCATAGAAATCTGCTAACCATCACGTCCACAACTGTTTCTTTTGTAGAAACAGGTTACCAGCCAAAACAAATCATATAATGTATGTGTAGCTTCTGACTGATTCCCTACTGAATTTTGCTTAGCATTTTTGTGATGAGCAGCGCAATGAAATAGGGAACTAGAGACACAATGTCAAAACTGCTGCTGAATTACATGTATAGTACGAGCTGGTTTCTGGCCAATGTGTCATGCAATATATATTTTATGTGACTGGATACCAGCCAGTTTTGCTTAGCACATGAAATTTGCTGAGCAATATCTATATCGCTTAGCTGGACAGTTAAATTTGGTGCTGAAGTTGCAGAAATTTTGAACCATGTCAGATTTATTGGTTTTCCCCTTTCTCCCCTCCAACTTCTTGGATTCTTGTCATTCTGACAGGTGTTGGGATGTGAAGACTGGCAAACCTCAAAGAATCTTCCACGGCCATCAGGATACCATCCTCTGCTTGGATATGTCCCACGACCGGAAAGACAGCCTCGTGGTGTCAGGCGGGAAGGATAACGTCGTCAAAGGTTACAGCAAAAGTTTCTTTGCCTTTCCAAACCTCAATGTGTTGGAACTAGTTACCTCGTCAAAAATTGATGCTGTTCAAACCAGTGCAATGCGGCTGGGTCGGAAACAACCAAGCTGAAATAGCGACAATTTTTTTTCAGCAGAAACCAGGTTTTGATAGAGCTATTGGTCTTTTTAATCATGTCAACAGGACCATCACAGTAACAAGTTAAACACAGATTAAATGTGAATGACACGCTTGTGTGCTCAGTGTACATCCATGTGCCGACTTAGGTCAGAGTCCATCACATAAGAGCACAGTGTACTTTCCTCTCTAGCTAAGTCACGAGATACTGTTATCAGGAAAAAAATGTCATCATGGATTTCTTTCAGTCTTTAAGGTTTAAGAATCTGGCATTCGGTAATTTACATTGCTGGCCCAGTTATATACCAAGGCACAATATCCAGCAGGATGGCTTATTCATATTTACGCTTTTGTGTGCTACTTTCCTCTGCTGCAGTCTGGAATTTTAGCACGGGTAAATGTCTACGCACCTTCAAGCACATACACCAGGTGACAGCGGTGGCCATACATGGTGATAGGGTGGTGAGCGGATGTGAGGGGGGACGAGTCAAACTATGGAGTATCAAAGATGCTTGCCTCATCAAAGTAAGTGTGTCCACAAACAGTTATTTTAAATGCACGACAAAAGCAAAGTCTTATAGATCTCAGGAACAGAAAAGATTTTATGAGGAACAGAGTCTTTCGATTCTTGAACTGTACCGGCCCATGCTTGGGAAAACAAGGAGTGAATTTCTCGACAGAGCAGACTATAATGAGTATCAGTGCTTTTTGGTTTAACCAAAATGTAATACATTTTACATTTAATGTAATACATTTTAAATGACCTGCTTACATGCTTTTTTTGGAGGGGGGTTGGAAACAGTGCACTGCTAAAGACAATGGAATGAAGATATCTATGTTGTTGCAATGAATACAATTTTGCATGGCTTTAGTATTTAACATGTTTTTCTGTGTTAAATATAATGAGAAATTTGATTGTTTAAATGCCATGAAGGACGTTTTTTGTGATGATAAACTGTGATGTACAATATTAAAATGAAGAGAGACAAGCCACAGCTGGTGATGGATGTTTTTTGTCCCATTTTCTCCCCTAGATGCTGTACCAGTCTCCCAAGAACACCAACCGCTTTGGCTTCATCAACCCCCATACCCACCAGGGGCCCATCACCAGCGTCCGGCTGGACAGGTGGCATGTGGTGTCGGGGAGTCGGGATGGTTACGCACTGGTCTGGAGTGCCCTCGGGGACCACAAACGATGCGTCACTGCACTCAGGCATCCCAAGTAAGAGCAGTTAAGGTCCTCCAGAGTCCATTTGCTGAAGCATTAGTTGCCTTGTACGAAACCCTTTGTTGGTGGAAGAGTTTGTACGTTTGAAGACACTATGTACTTGTCTGTTGCATATTTTAGATACTTTTGATGGCCAGTTATTTACATTGCCAGTATGAGCTGTAGACATGTAGCATGCAGCTGTCTGCCAATAATGGTATATGACACTTAGATTAGGTCAATATTACCCCTGTTCATCATGCCCACAAGGTATTGTTTGATTGTTGGGATAGAAAATGGTGATGCTGGAGTCCAGACTGTCATTATAACACAATTCACAAACCATGAACAAGACCCGTCACAAGACCATGAACAAGACCATGAACAAGACCCGTCACAAGACCATGAACAAGACCATTCACAAGACCCGTCACAAGACCCGTCACAAGACCAGTCACAAGACCCATCACAAGACCCATCATAAGACCCATCACAAGACCATTCACAAGACCCATCACAAGACCATTCACAAGACCCATCACAAGACCCATCACAAGACCATTCACAAGACCCGTCAAGTAACAGGATCTGCAATGATAAGAGATGCTTATGTTGCCCTTCTTTGGAATAGCTTGCAATTTGAAGTCAGACTTGGGGTCTTGTATTGGTCCCATGATGGCACTGTGGGGACACGGGATGGTCCTTAGAGGTCTCGACTACAACACTGAAAAATGGTCCCGTTCTGATGTGAACAGAATCGTGTTATTGGTTTACTTGACCAGAGGAAAGACCCACAAAGGGAACAAAAGATGTTTCCTAGCTGCCCTCTGTGATGCACGGTCAGTGCTTACTGGTCAGTGCTGTCCCGATAACTATATGTGGTATATGTGGTTATAACTATGTAATGATAGGAAACACAACATTCTCTCTCTCTGGTAGAGTGGAACCACATTAGTAAGAGGTCCTTTGGACTTTTGCAGGTTACCTTGTTTTGGACCTGCCAACATGCTGTACTCCTTCCTCAGGTCAGGCATCACCACACAGTAGACTTAACATTTAAATGAAGTGAAGGCTCATTTAAATACCTTTTAATCTATTGTGTGGTAATGAATGCCTGACGTCAGGAAGGAGTCCGACAAGGTTAGCAGGTCTGTTGTTATAACAGGAACCTTGTATTATTAGAAATGAAACCAATGAAGAACAAAGGATTGGAACCTAAAAGTTCTGATTTTATAAGTAGAATTTTGTATTAACGGTGCTCTAATTAACGAGGTTGTACCTGTATATTGAGACACCACTGTGCGTTCAAATCTGAGGGTACGTTTCCCCCCAGGGAGGTGCTGTGCCTTGAGATGTCCTACTTGAGGGTCATCACCGGCTGTGAGGATGGCAAGCTACGGATCTGGAACATGCTGAGTGGGGACTGCCTGCGCGTCATGAGAGGAAACAGCCGGTCCGACCCAATTGAGGATATCTACCCGTGTGGGGAAAGGTAAGCTGTTAGAGGCAAATCATATCTGTGCTCACGTTATTGCTCATGTACCCGTTGGTGATTAAGAGGGTCCGGGGGTCAGTCCAGGTTCCTCTCCCCTCCTCTGTTCCTTCATACACACCTCTCCTCCTGGGCCTCCTCAGTCGACAGCAGCATTAACTCATTTTTAACTTAAGAATTTAACTACATTTACCTACAAAAATTCTGCACTAGTAAACAGGTGGTCGTGGGTTCGAGTCCCCCCCCGGAGTAAGCTTGTGAATATTTTTGCAAGCTCTCGAGCAAACACTGAGCATACAGTGCTATGAATATGCGTCAATGTGAGGGCAAAACCCGCTATTAATCCTACTTGATATTACCACAAAATCTGCAATGTTCCTCTTTTCCAACAATCTGAAATCTGGCCCAATCGCCAACGACCACAATTTCTTCTGAGCTGTAGTCACTCTCGCCATATGTCTTTCTACCAGTGTCTCTTGCTGTATCACAAATTCTGATGGTTTGATTAATTTCCCATGTGTAGATTGGTTCTGCATACTGTCAACAACCTGTTGGTTCTGTGCTTTGAGGAGGTTCAGTGGGACTACGAACAGGAAGAGAAGATTGAACTTCTGCGCTACAAGAACCACTATGGCGATGCCCCCCTCAGGAAGCACACCTATCCTTATGTCCGTGCCCAGCGCAGTGAGCGGGCAGGAGCCAGCAACCCCAAGATCATACACCACCTGCGGGGCACGTCCAAACCAGATACCTCGTCGCAGCTGGGGCACAGCGGCCGCACGCTGCACGACCGGAGCCTGCAGAGTGCCAAGATGATACAGAAGCAGTTCAAGGCGGTAGAGTTTGCCTCCAGTCTGAAGGGGAGTGTGTATCACAACGTCCAGGGTTCACAGCCTGACGGCCCCATCCCGCCGGGGGCAAAGTCGGGCTCGGCCACCTACGCAAGATCCCGAGCTGGTTCCTCAAGACCACAAACAGCTACAACTCTGACCAGGCCATCCACAGCCTCAGTGCGATCAGCAACAGGTGCTCCTTCAAGAGCAACAACCCCTGCCTCTGTCAGCCATTCAGAGACAGTGAGACCCAAATCACAGCAGAACATCAGAGCCTGCTCCCCGACAGTTCTCTCTCGCCCTCCGACCGGCATCATGAAAGGGAAATCCAGACCAACGACTGCCTTCTCCACAAAAAGCGCAATCCTAAAGCGAGCCAAATTTGAGCTGCCAATGCGTGGGCACAGTGCCCCTGTCAGGAGGCAGAATGTTGGTGATGCCTTGTCTCTGTCTGAAGCCAAAGCCTTGATAAGATCCCAGGAGCGCACCAGGGATGTCCCAACACCTCGGGATAGGCTAGTGCTGACCATCAATTGCATTGAGAGCTCAAAGAAAAACACAGAGCTGGTGAATAACACGACAGCAAACTGCTTGGAAATTGATTACAAACCCCGTGCAGAGAGCCCACCACCAAGCCAGTGCACGGTCAGAAGTCCTGAGATCAGACGGCAGAAAGGAAAGTCACAAGTAGGAGCTGTTAGTTCTCCAGAATCAACTGTGGTCGTTCAATTTAGAACTGTTGAGTATGACAACAAGCCCCATATCAGCTTGCATCCTGAAGCGACGCTGTCTAGCATCCCAAAGCAAACGGTGATATGTCAACAGCCAACGAAACCCGTCCTCACCCGACCGAGCTCAGGCCGGGTCCCTTCAACAGAAAAGCCAAAGATCCTGAGAAGAAGCCAGAGTGCCAATGCCATCTTGACATCCGATAAGCCCAGCATCGTTCCATCAACCCAGACGGAGGCTGCCGTCCGTAAGAAGACCTTCCACGGCTGGACCACATCGCACACCGAACCGATCGTCCTCAGTCCCATGCTGATGCAGGGCCCAAGTGGCACGGCACCTAGCATGCAGTCGCCGCGGAAGCAACGCCACAGTGTGACGAAGGTCGTCATGGGACCGCCCGTGGAAGTCAAGGATCCGCTCAAGAGCCACAAGGAGTTCCAGATACGGACGCGGGAGCAGACAGAGGGGTATCTGAACTGGGTGACTGAGATCCAACATAGGTACACCAAGGAGAAGGCGACACAGGCCGAAGCACTTCAAAAGAAGCTATGGCTAGCAAAGGCCAAAGGTCAAACTCATCAGGACTTGACGAAGAAACCTAGAGTTTTTGCACCAGAGATAGGAGAATGAAGCAAGATGGTTTTTATTCCCTCCTCTACATTAGACAGCAAAATGTATGGTTAAAAAGACACAAGACTTTTTGTTGTTGAATTTGTGAATATGCTGTTCTGGTTTCTCTTAATCTCCTGTCAGATCCTTCTTTGTAAGTTTGGTCTTTGTTGTGTTGATTGAAAACATTGATTTTTTCACTTTGGCTGCAGTGGAAAAAGTTAGGTTCAGTGCATCTTGATGCACCTGTGACTGAAGCAAACACTCAAGACCCAAGTTGCACTTTGTGAAGAGCTGCTTTTCACTCCAGGACTCACAGACTGCAGTTCTTCACAGGCAGATTTAGGTTTACAGAAATCGATCCCCTCTCTCCTCGTCAATTCTGAAAACTTCATATAAACATAGATCTGAAATGACAGCATCATGACTTCAACTTCACACCAAGAAAAGAATAAACTTGTCTTTTCAGTTGGCCATGATGACTGTAAATAGTCTGGTGTCTCACCTAGGGAGTAGGGAGGCTTTTTTTCAGTTTTGGCATGGGATTTTTCCCTGATAAACTTACTTTCAGTTACAAATTGCCTCCTTAACACTGTTTGATTGGATTTTTCACAGGCAGTGATACTTAAGTGGTCAGCTTGTTATATTTGTCTTAACAGACTTTTGTTGGAATATTTTTATTTTGCCGGAATATTCTTTGCTATTTTTTGATTATCAAAGTGTTTGACTGTCTGCTCTTGCATACCAAAGGTTTGATTGATGTTATTTAATTAACATGCTTAAGTGTGCACATAAAATCAAGGTGTGTATATATATATATTTATCTGCAAAGCTAAGCTGTTCTTGCCAAGTGTGATGTGTGTGGCTAATTATTTCTTTTCCAAAGAGTGCTTTTGCCTAAATTGTTGCGTAACAGTTTGTTGCTGAATTGTTTTCAGAAGAGTGTGGTGAATGGTAAATGTGAAAAAAATGGGCATTCTTTTATTCAATTATTTTCTTCAAGTAGTAATAGATATTACCTTTGCGAGGTTTCTGTTGGTTTGCTTTTTAAGCATTTGGAACAAAAATCTATGTTTAAGTGTTGTGAATTGCACATTGCAGTTTATTCTTGCACATACCAAAAAGACATGTACATTTCTAAAGGATTATTTTTGTGCAGACAGCTGATTCATAAGGGCCCATTTTGAAGTTGCAACTTTAAAAGCTAGCTTACAGGTGAAGTAATTTATAATTTCTTGCGTGGCTGTCAGTTTATGTTGCAGTTTGTATTCAAACCTAAAAATAAAGAAAATAAAACCAAGGACTCCCAAGAAAATAATCTTGGAAAAAATGATTGCATGAAATGTAGAATTTGTGGAACTGTCAACAACAATGTGAGAATGTTTCATACTAGGAATATCTATAACTCACTGACACCACCTCTGGTGTTTTACAAATATTCCTTGACCACTTCATTTTTTGGAATCTGCCTGCTTTCCTCTGCATTCACCACAAATCAGATTTTTGAGTTAATCCACTGAATGTAGTTTCTGCAAATCATTAAAAAAAATTTTTTTCAATTCACTTGCCTTGACCTAGTCTTAACTTCGTAGTGTTATCATTGGCAATTTGCAAGCAAAATTTGGCCAAACTGCTTGGAAGACGCTTAATGAACTCTGGAATCTTTTTACTTGGGAGTAAGCAACAACATGAAGAAGCTGAGAAGCTAGATGATTAGTTGTCAGTTAAGAGGAAAGAAAGTAAATGTGACCTCCAAAAATGCTGTCACTTTTTATAATCTCAGGTTATCCAGACCTGCACAGTCGGTCACCCATTATATCAGCTTTTACTTTGTGGGCCAGACTGCTGGTACACAGCCAGTTCAGTCCGACTTGAAGTGCCCCATCACTGGTAGCAAAAAGACAGGTTGGTAGGACTCATTTCAACTGGGCGCCTGCACCCCGTACCTACCGAGGACATTCCAGCAAAAACTGTGTATGCCAAGCACATCTCACACCAAAACACACATAAACCCAAGTACATTTACCTTGCAAACCTAGCGTAGACATTCCTTTCTTTTCATGCAATTAAGAAAACTCAGTGGAAATACTTGTTTTTCTTGAACTGGGAACAGTGGTTTAATAGTTCCCATCAAAGGACATTTGCTGGTGTGTCAAAGCATGCCATCTCCTGAGTGGGTAAATGTCACATGGCACAGCTTTGCACGGGGAGAAATGGTACCAGAAACACTAGCAGTCAAAATGTAAACCTCCACCTGGCTACAGAGTACAGAAAGGTGATGTCACGTTAAACCAGTAAATGCCATATGAACAAATGGAGTACACGTGCACATGATTCACACACTGGTTCTCGTGCTAATGCTGTTACGCACATAATTGTGCTTGTGACATCTTCACTTTGGTACTCTATACAGTGTGTGATAAAGCAGCGGCCGTTTTTCCCAGCACAAATAAAGTAAAAAGGACTCCTTTCCACTAAGAGATGACTAAGTACAGATGACAATTGGTGTACCATAAGAACATCTGTTTATTCAATGTAGACATATACAACACAACCAGAACACTTTTTTCAAATGCATTTTAAAGTCTTACGTTTTAAGCACATATTCCTCAGATACTGTTAACTTACACTGCACATTAACCAACCCCATCAGTCACTTTTAGAATTGGTTTGATTCTACTGACCTCACCAATTGGCTTCATACTCTTGTTGGATTCTGTTAGAAACAAGCCTGTTTTAATAGCTTGACATGGTTCAATGGCTTGATCTAAATTCCAAGGTGCTTACAATAAATAGTTGAAAATTGTCAGGAATAAAACCATGGAGGTTGAACAGAAAACAGTCAACATAAACTACAATTTCACAAAATGATCGTTTTCATTTTTCAGACGCCAAGCACTACCTAAATGGGCACATTTCAGTAAACTACAATGAAAAGTACATGTAAATGGCTGGAAGGAAACAGGTGGCAGATAAGAGTACCACTTACAAATAAATAAGGATTCCACACATATAAAGGAACCATCCCATTTAGTTCGGTTTTCATGCTAGAAGAGAGGGAACTGCTTTTCCAACTTAATGTTCTACCCAGTGTTGTAGTCAAGGCCACAACCTCCGAGGCCGAGGCCAAGACCAAGGTAGAGGCCATAAAAATCGGCTTCGAGGGCAAGACCAGCCTCAAGGCCTCCAACACTGGTTCTACCCTCCACCGTTCTACCCATGAAATCAAAACCTTTCTGCTACTTTTGAAAGTTTATTCACAGAAGAGAATACATGTATAATACATGTATATAATATTTCCCACCTCTCATCATTCCACTCTCTGTAATACCATGAAAGTGTTGCATATTCTTGATGGCCCTGATAGGACGTCAACAAACACGCATGAGATACTGAGTATAGCTTGCGCATTACTGGACCTCATATAGTTCCTGAAGTACCTTCAAATACAGTTGAAACATATCCACAAAGTATCCACATATAAATACCAAGCATATCCACACACTAACACTAATATGTAAAAGAATATCCATCAAGCATATCCACACTCGTACGTCTGGCATTTCCACTCACATCCCACAAGCTTCCGCACTGAGTATGTCTTCATCCACTTGAATCCACCAAATCATCACAAAGCCAGCTGCACAGTCATTCCCAAAAAAACTCAAAAATAAAACATTATACATGTACTTGTACATGTACATGTACTGCAAAAAAATGATCAGACTTTAACCACTTCCCACCGGGGACTTCGGATCCGGACACGTATGCTTTATATGCGTGGCCGGAGTCTCCGAACTCGGACAAAGGGAACAGGGCCTTGTAACAAAAGACCGTACTCGGAACAAAAGACCAGGCTGCTGGGCATTACCGACATTTTTTCACTCTCAAAAGTGGAGATAATCCTGCCTTGTTTTGAAACAGTATACCACGGTTTGGGGCATTTAGAGCAAGCGGATTACAACCGGGGACAAAAGCACTCCCACACCACATCGATGAGCCACAAAGTACCGCTGCACGCTAATCTGGCCCCTATTGAAAAGAGATCAGCAGTGCACTGAGCCAGGTTCGTGAACAGAAGAATATTACATAACACCACAAGATCTGGGCTCTTTTTACACGGCTGCAGGCCTGGCTGAAATACTCAGGCGTCAGTAGATTTTGTCTGGCTAGAGTGGACACCAGATATGCCTTCACGTGTTTGTTTAAAGTGTCCAGTGAATAAAGATAGGAATTTTTAAAGAATTTTAAAAATGATAAATATCCCGCCTTGGCATCATCAACATTGATAAATGCCCCGGCAGGAAGTGGTTTATACAAAAATCTGCTTGCAAAAGTATCTGTAACACAAACTGCATTGATCAGACGGACGTGAGCAAAAGAAAGGCAAGTGCAACGTAAGCAATTAGGATCTGTCCTGCAAGGCATGTGGTTGAGATCACAGTGAGCACAAGCAGAGAATGACTTAGTCTCAAGCAGAGTTGCACATACATGTAGCAAGAAGAACACATGCACGCATTACTTACAGCACCCAATAAATGGACCAACGGCCAACCACTCAGCGGTTGCTACACCATCAACCAATTAGCATCATCCCTGCATGCATGCCTTACACAAGAAAATGCACATGACACAAGCACTCTACATAAACAAGACAGGAAATCGTATTCATCCTTTTTCTTCATTGACCTCCAAACTGGCACTTAATTGCCTCCAAATCACGCTTGCATCATTTCAATTGTCTTCACATTCCTGACAGAAAAGGCAAGAATTACATTAATGATAAAGACTAGCTGGTAATATAAGCTGCAATATTGTACAAAAACTCAAACATTACATGTACATCTGTGAATGTTTACATGTAGATCCTGCATGTTTCCCAAATTGCAGGTGCATGCACAACCACTTTGAAATTGCATATTCCCATACAGCTGTGCATTACGTATGTACAAGTTAAGTATAACAAAATATTTTACACTTTTGAAAATTACTGGCAAAGGTATAAAAAAGCTGCCAAATACAGACGACACTTTGGATCGATCATCCGCCCTTACAAAACTACCCCCACCCAAACCAACCGAAAAAGAAGAGACAGGCCAGTGGGGAGTTTTTCAGCCAGGCTTTGTGCATGTGCCCAGCGCGTACACAAAGACAATAGGTTCCAACGGAAAGTGGTCACACAATGCCAGCTTGTCCAGTGCCAAGCACGAGTAAACTGTTTAGCACACATAGTGGGTTTCCACGTGTTAAGAAACAGTTACTACCAGTGTTGTAGTCAAGACCACTTAAGACCTTCACAAGACCACACAAGACCAGCACAAGACCAACACAAGACCTCCAGTCTGAATTCAAGCCACAATCTATTCAAATGAACTGCATCAGAAGCATTCTTTTGTCATTGTTCACCGTTACGTCTGGCTGGTCTTGTGTCTGTCTGGTCTTGTGATGGTCTCGACTACAACACTGGTTACCACGTGTATGTAAAACATGCCATCTCTTGTTGCTCCACAGAGGGGACAACACGGGGCAGAAAGGAACAGGTAAGAGGCTATAATTTCATATAAACTTATTTCACAAATTTGGACCATCTGCCCTTGAGGCAAGTCTGGGTACATAAGAGTAAAACAGCGATAAGAAGAGAACTGTTAATACGTCATATTATAATAAGGACAATTCTTAGCCCCAAGGCTTTCTTTTTCTTTGTTCTCCATTACTGATAACAAGAGGTATAAGTACCTGTTATGAGTGGGGAATTTGTAAAACCCCTTGACCTGTTTATGACAGTGTTCCATGGTATTGCCATGCTCCAGTATTACGTCCATCCTCAGATAACAAACATGAACTTCCTCTAAATTCATCCCATTAGAATTTTGCTCCTGGTGAGCGTGTCTTTCACTGCACTAGCTCTAAGGGTGTATAATAATACTAGCTTGATGCCGCCATTTTGGCACAAACGGCTAAACATAACCGTGTCTGCCCTCACAGGTACCCATTTACTCCTGGGTGGAGAGAGGCACACAGGGGTAAAGTGACTTGCCCAAGATCACAACATGCTGCAACCAGCTGGATTCGAACCCCAAACCCTATGATCAGAAGCTACAAACCCTAACCACCAAGCCACATGCCCCCCAGGCATAGGTACGTGTCAGACTGGTAGAAACTTACACAAGAGCAAAGGCAAATACACAACATGTGGAAAAATTTAAATCCCTGCCATGACTTGCACTTAGCTTCAAGTTTCAGATAAGTGTTACATCCACCTTAGATGAATAGCATATTTTCCTGTCCTTGCATGCATAGCATTCTTTTCGGTCTAGCACTGTGACAAAGTCTCCCTTATAAACGTGGGTGTGTCGTTGCAGCAGAGCTTTACTCCACACGAGGGGCATATCATCTGCTGCCGCTATCCAGCATTCCGCCGATCATCGGCGGCTCTTGTGGCCCACGCCCAAGGGGCCATATTCCGGTCAAGACAAACCAAGATCAAGTCGCCTCAAGTCGCTTGACTTTCTGTGAGGCCCGCCTCAAGACTGAGATCTGCCACTCACCACTGTCCATCAAGACCATGACGGTCAGCCTGGCTTGACTACCATCTCCTGCGTGGGACCCAAGACCAGCTGTGGTGGTCGTGCAAGGCTTGCATCGCAAGGATCGCAATGCCCCTTCACACATATCAGTTGGATACCGGTAGCCCTTTTATTATTTCAATGCATTATGCTTTGTCTATTGTAAGTATATTAATTTTTGTTGCATTTTCTGGTTTTCCAAAGGTTAATTTAATTTTGATTAAGTTAACCTTCTCCGCTGTCCTTTTGCGAGGTCTGTCTTTTGAAATTCCTGTGGTGAGGTATTCAACGTCCATGCAAAACTAATATCTGACTTTGTAACAGTAAGCAATTTCACATTTGCTTAATTCTTGATCCTGATATGCTGTGATTGGTTTAAGCAACCAACATTTCAGTCAATCCAAATGATCTTTGGACAATATGCATATTATCATAAAACAGCTCACAGCTTACACAAAATAAACTAATGAAAAATCCCACTTCATGGTGCACGGATTGCTCTGTCCACAACTGATGCACATTTCAAAAAACTCTTAATCTTGTTTTACCAAGGAAACCTTTCTTTTTCTTGTTGCTCCCTGGAACTTTTGACAATAAAGGAAAAACTGCTGTGGAGCGTTTTCAGTTTTTTATGGCATGAAATATACCAAAAACAAAACAACACTCTCAATGAAGTGCTCTTTGAGGAGGAAATTCTGGTGTCAAATTTAACTTTGACCAAGTAATTTTTTCCTCAAACTGAGTGGTTCCTGTTGAAATCTTGCGACAGAGGCAAATGTTCTGCTCTGCTGCCCCCCAACAACAATCGCCGGATTTTTGTGCCCAGTGTCACGCTGCGCTGCCACTGCCTCTGAAAGTCAAAGTTGGCGACCTCCACGTGAGGTCGGTTCTGATTCCGCACGTAGTTGGTGAATACCGCCACGCACAGGAAGCAGGCAGCAATGCCAAAGAAGATTCCAATAACCAGGCCAACCACTTCCTGGGATTTTTTGGCTGCAACGGAAAGGGAGACCGTTTGATTTGTTAAGTGCTTATTTTCCTGATGTTGGAGTCATTTTGAAAAATAAAACTGTGACTAAAACCCCCAACCAGTTGAATTCCAACACCATGGTTTGTTGGAATCTGTTAGGTTGCGTACTGCACTGGTACTCTGGCTGTGTTTCATGTGGGAGTAGGCATACCACAAGTGAACAGCGTCCAACTGTTTATGTGCACACTTTACTAAACTGGACAGCAAAAGAAACTTGCCACTTCTGTCAATGGCCACACATAAAAATTTACTCCACAGAAATAAACAATTTTTGTACACAGGTATGCTGCAATATCCCTTACTAGCACATGCCCCAAAGCAAGTGATTATCTTTATAACAAAGAAGAAATTGACATGCACAGCAACTTGGTTACTGAATCAAAAGTCACAGAATGTAACAGAATGAGCCTTAAGTTTTACGCAGAAATCAATGTCACAGGACAAAATAAAGAAGTCAAAATCATTACTTTTTGATAATGTGTATGCACAGTCAGTAAAGATGGCATCTCTATACAGAAACCACTCATGCACATCATTTTGACAAAACAGGTGTTCACCTTGTTTAAAATGCTGTCCATTCATGGGTCTTTTTTGCTTGGTGGAGAGTGCTTTTGTGTGTGACTTTTTGATTCAAAATGGTAGAAAATGAAAAGTAGATTTGGGTAATATCAGATTAATTTTTACCAACTAGATCACGCACAGTACAAGTATACTTACGGCTCTGTGCATAAACATTCTTGTCGGCACCTGAATTGCTGATGGCATTTCTCGCATACACCCCAATGCTGTATCCTCCGCTGGTGTTGAACCAATGGTCAACCTCAAACCACGTCTGGTTGGTCAGCATTATCTTGTTGCAGTTCATGTCATTGGATTGGTACTTTGACATCGCATTGGTCGTAGTAGGGATGACAAACCAACAGAATTCAAGGGGGAGACTTTGGAGGGTGAGGGAAAAGAAAACGGAGGGAGCTAATGTTTTTTGGTTTTGTGCAACATAGCAATAATCAAGAAATAATGACCTGCAGACATTCTGAATGACGCAAATGTGATCCACACGCACAAAGTCAGTCTAGGAACGGACCATGTATTGAGCTTAAACGTTAACAGCCACAGTGCACTGTGCAGACTGTTGCTGTAGTCGTTATAACAACTACCAAGCATCACTCCGTGGGTGGGCCCTGGAGTGTTACAAAATATGAGGTTGTGGTAAGAGCTATCATGCAAATACTGTTGAATTGAATAAAGAGGCTCAGTATTTGTGGTATTCTGCCTTCAGCTTTACAGCATAAGTTGGTCTCTCTATCTTCCCTTTCTCAAAAGTTAGATTTTTCAGCTAAAATAATACTGTAGACAATTAACTAAAAAAGGTACATGCTTGCCGTAAGAGGACACTAATACAAAATTGTACGTACCTCGCCAGGCAAGATATGTTGTATGTAGCTTTGACTCCAGTTTCAAGATTGTCTTTGCCATGTATCGTCAAATTTCTGACAGCATCTGTGTCAAGAACGAAAAAACAAAACAAAGTGAAACCTAAAGTCGGTGACCCCTAACAGTTTTACAATTAACAGTTACCAGTTAACATTTAACTGCCAATCATTTTACCATTAATGCCTTTGAGTATTTTGCCCATTAAGAAAAAATTTCACCTGTCCACAGAAAACTGTCACTATTTCCCTCAAGTGCAAAAATCAGACTTGCCAAGTAACATCAATATGAGCGATTTTAAACATTTCTTGTGTAAAATAAAAAGCCTGATTGCTGTTAAGCAAATTTAAAGCAGGGTCAATCTGTCTATGTAAAAATAAGAGATCAATGTATGCACTAACTGTGACTGACTGACTGATTCTTGCTGATTTTTTCCCCCCTTAGAATAGGACCTGACAAAGCATTATTTTCTCCTGAGCACATCTATGACTTTTAGTCCTAAGGTACATAGAACTAACAATATTGCTCAGCAAATATGGAAGCAATAACTAGTAAAACTGTAACGGCTGGCAGCCTGTAATTTCTTCCGAGGATGATTTGACTTGCTCAGCAAATCTAATAATTCTACAAAACACCAAAATAAGCCTGTTTGGTATTTGAAAAAGGCACGATCACAGAAGAACCCATCTGATGTCATGCCACCTCAGACATGTTCAGAGAGCTTAAGTCATTTTATGGCTGGACTGTTGGGCTGACGTTCTGCATGTGTACCTGTTGCTCCCCAATGACGTAAGACCCACTTCATTACGGGCAAGCACCGCTGAAATAGTGAAATGGCTCACTGGCCCCTGCTTTGTCAAACGGATTTTTAATTCTACTGGTTTGGTCCTAAGGCCCTCCTCACCCATTGTTTTCAGGTTGTGCTTGACATCCCCAGTCTTCGGCGGCCTCGTCTCGATGTTACTGTCGGGAAAGATGGCCGTCATGTTCACCATTATCCCATAACGCCCTGGCTTCCTGTACATGTGGGACACTGCCGGCTACCCGTAGAACAAGAAAAATGGTGTAATAAGTGCATTTACTAAGAACTGAAAGCGGCTTAAATATTGATCAGGGAGGTGGAAAGGGTGGGCAGGGGGGGGCTTCCCCCCCTTGACTGAAACCATTCGATCCTCTCCCATTTTGGTCTTGACAAACAGCACCATGCAACTTTCGAGGTCATTTTTCAACTTTCCAAGAACCACAGTGTATTAATTAAAAGCGCAGAAAAATGCAGAACAGAGTAGTTCCTGCTTTCAAGTCACAAGTTAAGGAATGTAAGCATGCAAATACCCATTATGTCAGCACCAACAAACCCCCCTTTTAAAATTTCCACTGCTGCACAGTTCTAGGATTGTGGTCATCTCCTGCATGTATACATGGATGTCCTCTCTTTTCTCACCAGCCCACTTCTTACACTACCTTACTGATGGCAATGACTAGATGATACAGACAAATTTTGAGACTTTAAATGCTATGCGCCACAAAACTTTTCAAAAATGCTTCAAATGACTTGTAAATGCACCTGATTAATAGTGGTATCTGCAGAGCCGTCTCCAAATGTCCAGTGATACAGCAATGTGGCATCTTTGAAGAAGTTGCTGGGGTCATGTATGTTGACCACCATGTCCACCGATTTATTGGTTGCGACAATGTCGCAAGTTTCTAAGCCAAAGGTTGTGTTACAGGATACCCCATCCTTGATGACAAGGTCAGCATTTATGTGCTCTGTGAATAAAAACATACATGTACCAAGACTGTGTACTGACTTGTAATACTCGGACATACAATTTATGTAGGTTTCCAATTTGAGTCAAGCTACATTTCCCCTCAAACTTGGACACAATACATGTACACGCAAACCCACAACACCACCATATACAGTTATTTCCTTAAAAGGGCTAAGGCCTTGAGCTACATGTACCTGATATTTTATGACACTTTTCGGCAGTATTGAGCACCGAAGTGAATATGTCATGCGCACACTTATGCGTGTAAAAGACATTAGTGCGAGAACCAGCATGTGACCCAACGTGCGCAAGTACATGTATCCCACTCATTTGCACTTCACTCCCCGGTTCAAAATGACATCACACTTCTGTACTCTATGGGCATACTACTGTCTGTTGGAGGAGACCATAAGTGCAGCGATGAGCATGTTAACCTAAGAGACAGAATAATTCTTAAAATCACGACAGAATAAAGCACACACATGTACACGGTACCACTGTAGACGCATTAATAGTGCTCTGTAGCAAGCCATTGATAGGCCCAGCCGATCCAGTCAGTTTTTTCAATGTCCCAAAAGTCTGAAAGCTAACACATGTGACTCTTGATAAACTGAAAGTTTAAACAGTACTTGTAAGGAATTTCCATCAATGGCACAACAGATCAGTTTTAGCAAGGACCAAAAAGTTGGAAAGCGACAAGAGTGGCCCTTAAAGGCTTAACAAGATGAAGGTTTAAACAGTACATGTACAAGGAATTCCCATCAACGGGACAAAAATTAAAGATATTAAGAAGAAAACAGATGTTTTGATACGAAAAAGTTATCACGCGATAACCAATCTGCCCAATCAAGGAAATTCATGAAAAACCAGCTACACTGTAACCGTGTATTTCTGTCCAATTTGAATTTAACACTCTTACCATAAGATGTGTTTCAAACACTAGTACAGCTATCAAAATAAATGAATAAATGATGCTTTGATAAGAAATGATGCAATGTCATTAAAAAAAGTAATAGTTTAATGCATGCTCCATTGCTGGATTTTGTTTTAAAATCTCAAACACTATGGGTCTACTGTTATTCGCACAAACTCCAGGTCTAAACCTGTGATTCAACTGAAGGAAACAATACACTTATCACCGATGCAAAATTTAAATGATCAATAAATCTGAACATTTTCAACTTAATTCTGGAAAATATCTTTGCATCAAATTTACCAGCAGTTGTTAAAATGTCATTTTATAACCAGTAATTTATGAACTTTTGCAATCTGAGTGGTTTATTTCTGACAGAAATTTCCGCATTTACAGGTTTCCCTATTGCATGATGTATCTCCATGTCCAATGGGAATATCCGTATTTGTAACAAGGCAGTGATGTACATGTACATGTAAATGTGGGCATAATCTGGTTGGTTGTGAGCAGAATTTTGCCAGATATTGGGGTACATGTATTTGCCAGGGTCACCGTAGCTTTTTACCTGTTTACTCTTTACAGGCATCTTGGCAAAGATAACCCAAACAAATTTGCATAATTAGACCTTAATTAAATTTATAATTAACAATTAACCTAATAACTGCTAAGCACTGCTAAGATTGGGAATCCAATGATGTGTAGGCTGGCAGGTGCACAGTTGTATTTTCTTTGACAAACCACAAACTACACTACAGATTTTTATCAGTTACATGTAGATATGTCAGACATGCTTATCAGTTAAGGAAATGCTGGAATTTCATTCCCAGCCAAAGACTTCACTCCCTCCGGAAATTTCTGAGGTTGCTTTAAATCATGTTTCCAAATCAGGAAACAGAAGTGTTGGTGGTTTGGGGCAAGGACACTAGCGAGGCCTGTTTTGGAAACGTGATGCTTGCACAACAGGGCGATAAGCGACCGACCGTGAATGCCATTGAGCTTTGCACACAAAATTACACTACTGCGACAGTGAAACACGAGTGGAAATTGTGAAAATGATGGAAGTTTCTTTTCAAAACTTGCAAATGTAAGTAGGAAAACATATAAAAACAAGCATTTTAACATGAGAAAGGGTTGTTGGTAGGTGTTTTGAGAAGACAGTAAAGATATCAGCATTAATATTAAATTTTTTTCTATTTTTTAATTTTTTTTTCTAACTTACCGATAACAATTTTAGGGTTGCGCCAAAAAGTAAGGGTCAGTCGGGAAACCGAAACCAGAGGTATTTTGGGGGGGGCCTTATCAATTTTTCTGACCTTAACTGATCTTAGCTAGAAAGCGTTTGATACGAAGTATACGCAAAGCCGCGTGTGAAGAGCACCCTCTTCTGATTGAAAAAGTTTTCTCTCATTTACCGCGCACGTGCGGAGGTCAGAAAGTAAGCAAAAAGTAGCTTTTTTTGCCAAACGTAAGCAAACGTAAGTTAGCGCAATGCCTGATGTGCCCAAGCCTATTGTTAATTTTGTTCCCACGAACTCTGGAAAGTTAGAATCAATTATCCTTTTCAACTTCAAAACATGAAGACCTGTGCAATCTTCTACACTGCAAAATAATTCAACAATCATTTAGAGTGGGATTTTCCTACTTAATTCTGACACACTTGAGCAAAGACTAAACAGAAAATTGTCAAAGTTGTTCTACCTTTCATTGGATTACTGAAACAGATGAAGAAAACCCTGCTTTTTCTTAATTTTGAATTGCTGGTTGATGTCATTTTTAAATTGATTGTTAAATGATGTAATTCTAGAAGCGCCCATGTTACCGTACATGTGCCAAATACTTCCTGTTACCGAGAGTTTTGTCTATTTTTGACACCAACTTTGTAAATGTTGGCCACAGGAAATGCTGTTCTCAAAATAACAAATTTTGCACTCAGGATTCTGACGTACAGCCTACAGTATTTTCTTGTAATGGCCATGCAAGGAAAACAGGTGCCAATACGGCCGTTTCACAATAGTGCGCCACCAAGAGTTTGTAATGTGTTGGCCAATCACAATGTGCGAAATTTGTCAACCTAATGCGCGTTTGGAAAGGGTCAACAAATTTCGCGAGTTATGATTGACCAATGCGTTGCAAACTCTTGGTGGCGCACTATTGTGAATCGCCCGTATTCACAGATGGTACAATTAAAAACAATGTACAAAAAAAATGTTTTTTATTCTGATTACCTTTGCAAGCCTATAGCACACATATCTGCAGGTGCAGATCGGGGGGGGGCCAAAAAAACCAAACAAGAGGAAAGAATGCTCTCTCCGTCACATGACCCACGTAGGTTTAAAGAATCTGCTGAAGCCCAGACTAGTTCTGAAGTCATTTCCAGTTGATTTGAGTGCTTAACCCTGTTATCACATAAATAAAGCCTCCTCAAAGAAGTATTTTTAGTTGAATTTATTTGTTTACAATTGTCTTTTTCTTTTGTTCACCAACCAAGCAGAGGTTAAAGTCCCAGTACTTCTGGGCACAGTACAAACAATTGATTTCTTCCCAATCCCATGGTTCAAATGTCAAAGAATACGTACCATGTATGACACAACCATTACTACCTAAACCAGAGTCACGAGATAGTCATAAAGATGCAGTTTCCTAAATGTAAACAGTCCACTGCTTTTTAAAGGATGTCAAATTTTCAATGAAGCATGGTGTAAGTGTGAATGTAATGTGTGAAAACTTGACCTCATAGAATGGGAAAAATCTTATCTGCCAGTAACCATAATCTCCCAGGTTGTATGTAAAATCATATCCAAATCAGTGGATTCAGGACTGTTAATTGTTGTGGCCTTGGAATGTGGAGAACTGATTTGTTAAATGTGACAGAAAAAAACCCAATTTCTTCAGCATTCTACAACTGCATTTAGCAACTACATGTACCCGTTGACATTTGATCCTAACGCGGCATTCCTCAGCATCCACAGTAATGAATATTGATGGCACTGTCCTGTCATATTTGCATATTTGTGTGCCTGTCCAACAACTCTTCAACTCACATACATGTCATGCATGTATTTTGCACGCAGGCACAACCATGTTGGAACTGTGTACAAACCATCCCCTACCAGCCATAGGGGTACTCCAACACCAAGGTCAGTTGGAATCTGCCAGGAGGATTACTGCACTGGTAAACTGACTGTGTTTATTAGGCATACCCTATGGATAAACAGAGTCCACCTGTTCATGTGCACAATTTATGATATGGTGTTGGGATTTGCAAGAATGGTAAAGGTTCCTATAATGTAGTACAGCTCTAAGGAGTTTAGATTACTGTGTCCTTGCTCTATGGGTCAACCAAGGATTTAGTGAAGGTTTGCCTACAAGACAATAGCAGTCTCTTTTGGAAAACTGGACTAGCATAACTGCCTGTCCAAGGTGTAAAAAAAGTTGGGTTGAAATGGTGGCTCAGGGCTGATTTCCTTTCATTGAGTACAACGTATTCCTCCAGCATCAACAATAAACATTTGCCAACTCTGCTGAACTTAAGGCAGGGGTAAATTTGAGGGTATGAAGAGAAATCTCAATGAGCATAGCAGATGGAACTGTAAGAATGACGACAACATGCTGTGACTCTGGGGGGCATTCAATAACTCAAGAATTTTCAAACAAATAGCGTGAATTATGTGAATCTTGTACTTTTTAAACAAAATGCTAAAAACTTACAGCAACAAAACCTCAGCCATTGATGCAATAAATTCAAAATCTAGATATCCCCCCCTCCTCTGGAATGTACATGTAACACGACATATTACACCCCTAGTCTCTCAGCTCTCATCCAACACTGGATAAAGAGGACAGGGAAGAAACATCAACACTTCAAGAAAGCAAAATCCTGAATTCCAGAGAGATTCTATCACAGAGCGGCAACAAAAATTCGAGTAAAACATACCTGTGTGATAAAACCCACACCATCTAACAAGACTAAATTCACTGCCATACAATCAGTAAGTTTTACAGAGCGAGCAGCTTTCTTTTCTGCTGTCCCCAACTACCGGTATTTGACCTCTACACAAATGTCCACTAACTACAGGGATGACGCAGTCTGCTCAAGGCCATGTATTTGTACATGCATAGTGCAAAATTTTACATGTACATGTATTTCTTACTTCACAAAAGACACATGGATTGTCAGCATTTGGCTGGGGGGGAGACAGATTGTTGAGGCTCAAAACATTTTCAACCACTTCCTGCCAGGGACTCCAGATCCGGACATATCTGCAATATATGCGTGGCCAGGGTCTCCGAACTCGGACAAAGGGAACAGGGCAAGTTGTAACAAAAGACCGTACTCTGAACAAAAGTCCAGGCTGCTGGGCATTACGGACATTTTTTCACTCTTAAAAGTGGAGATAATCCTGACTTGTTTTGAAACAGTATACCACGGTTTGGGGCATTTAGAGTGAGCGGATTACCACCGAGACAAGAGCGCTCCACCACCCCAGCAATAAGCCACACAGCAACACTGCACGCTAATCTGGCCCCTGCTGAAAAGAGGCCAGCAGTGCACTGAGCCAGGTTTGTGAACAAAAGAATATTACATAACACCACAAAATCTGGGCTCTTTTTACAAGGCTGCAGGCCTGGCTGAAATACTCAGGCATCAATAGATTTAGTCTGTCTGGCTAGAGTGGACACCAGACATGCCTTCACGTATTTGTAAGTGTGCAGTAAATGAAGATAGGAATTTTTTAAAGAATTTTGAAAAACAGAAAAAAAGATAAGTATCCCGCCCCAGCATCATCAACATTGGAAAATGCCCCAGCAGGAAGTGGTTAACCCTTGTATCAAATGAAAGAATGCATGAATACCACAGGGCAACAAAACCTGCACCACTCATGTGGTTAACAGTGTAATATTCCGTGCAGTCACATAACGAACGTTGTTTTCTCCACTCTGTGCAAATGAGAAGAGGCAAGAGCACATTCCTATTTCATCCTGAAATCTTGACAATAATATCTCATTCTTACCTGTTATCTGGAAAGAAGTGCTGTTGCTAACAACAAAAGGTTTGAGGATGAAATCGTTTTTTCTTACAGTGACAGTAACTGTGTGGAGTCCGACATCTTCTGAACAGTCATATGTCTGAGTAAAATTGCAGGTACTGTTTTGAAGAATTTTGCTTACTGATGGGAGACCACAAATCCACTGGCTCCAAACATACTCGTACAAGAATGTGGGGCTAGGTTTTTGCCGCCCAACAAACGGTTTCGGTAGGTTTTCGTGAGTTTCCTTGACAAAGCTGAGCTTTGCTGTGAATGTCGTAGTGGCACCCACGATGGTTGGTCCGTCATTTGTTATTGAAACCTTGGGCGTGGGAGCTGCGATAGAAGAAAATCAATGAAATCCTCAAAAAAAAGTCACTGCATGTGCTGCTCAAGTGGAGATAGCCAATGAAGCAAGCAAGAATGAATCATTTCTCGTGGAATCAATGACTGGATTCATCTTTCTATCATCAGCAATGAACCTTGCTAACCCCAAGGAAATAATTTAAGATAATACTTTATCAAAGAACAAAAAAGTACCCAAAGGTGCAAACATTCTTGAAGAATCAGATGCATTGCCTTATCCAGCCCTTTTCTTACTTAGGAATTTTGGAACTGAGTTTTTGGGATAAAAACAACACATTTGTCCATAAAACAATGCAGTTACAATTACATGTATGTTACAGGGACTCCATACGTGTTCAACATGCTCTCAGTCCCAATGCTTTTCCGTCCCAATAATTGTAGTGCCCGTACATAATTAATGCATTTCTGAGCATTAAGCGTAAAGACCAGGACTTCAGCTGTATGGTTTATCATTTCTAACTTAATTTAAGATGGTTCTCAAGAATTTCGGACCAAACTGTGGTTCAGATCTTTCTTGCTGACAAAGTTTTGAGTAAACCTACGGGAAATTATCTTCATTATTAAAAACAAACACACACGTTCTCCTTCATTTGTTTGCACCTTAGCAAAATGACAGCACTGGAAAACCCAAGATGTAGCCACGAGATAGAGAGGCTCTTAAAACACTGGTGCAGTTCCAGCTTGCAGAGTTTAAATCAATGGGTGAAATTAGGCCAAACAATTGAAGTGATCAGACAAAACACACCAACACGACCAATTTTACTCTGGCATTATCAGCTTTTGATCAGACCTACACTGTATGGGTGTACCAAGGTCACAAGAGGTTACATATAAACTCAGAATGTAATACGCACAACATTTCACTTTCACTTTTGGGAAATATTGCCTTCAGATAGTTCATCCTACCATATCTGCTTCGGTCAGACAATTGTGGTCAGAAATATTCGTCTGACTGGAAACTTGATGCGACACCCCAAATTTGAGCTAAACAGACTTTTTGGCAGCCATGTTATCTTTTGAGCAGTTCCTTTTATTTCAGTCATATGCTCAAGATCATAGCCGAAGTTTGTCAACATTTGCCATTTGGCACAAATAGTGACTGAGTGCTAGAACCCTGACTTCAGCTCCTATTAGAGGTACAAACTCACCCTCTGCAGCAGTGTACCGGCTGGTTAACTGTATGCATACTGTGGCAAAGGCAAACAGCATCCTCCCAGCCATCTTACAATCTTCGTCCTTCTCGTCTCTTTTATTGATCAGGGAGGGACGGGGGAAAAATATCTCAGCTGTGCAAAACTGCTTGTTTCCAAACAGATGTGAGAAGGAAAAAAAGGAAATCAGTCAGCAGTTTGATTGCCAACTTTTTGACAAGTAAGCACAACAGCCCCTCAAACAAGCAGCCTGCACCATGGAGGAAGGGCACAGACAGAGCAAGATTAGTTGTCCAGGGGCCCATGGAGGTATAATGCATGTACATGTAGTTCCATGGTAACCCACCACTGGAGGTGTTTATTCCTCCCTCCAAAGCCTGGGTCAAAGTTGTTATCTTGAAACTGAAAATGAGGCCATTGTGCTATCATTGGTTTATGTTAAGATTCCTCTAGCTGCCATATTCAGACCATAGAGCTACAAACCCCCATGGAGCCATTATCCATGTCCAGACAGACCACTGTGAAGAGAATGCCCTTCAAGGCCCTTTCCCTTGGGGCAAGATTTAGCCAGACAATGATTATGTAAACACACAGCCAGGACACAACTGAATGGTCAGCACCAACTATGGACATAAAGGCCAGGCCACCATATTTTCCACTAGGTATTATATAACAGTGACCCCGCACAGCAGGATGGACAAGAAGCATGACTAAGAGGGAAAAAATACACTTAAAAACCAACCCCTTCATAATCCCCAGTGCAGACTACAGCAAAAAGGGTCCTACTACCAAACCACAGGGCAATGAAACCAGAGTGCTGACTCATGTACAAAATGATGCCTGCTGGGCTTATCTACAGTGTATGTTTGTGTACAAACCGATGAAACACTCAAAATTTTGAACAGCTTTGATACGGCTATTTGCTATCTGTGTCTGTATTCTTATTCTAAAAGGATGCCTCAATAAAGACAATAGGCAAAAACCTAAACTCACTATCAGTAAATGAGCATTTCATTTTGCTCCACGCAAAACAATGCTAACACCTGCGCAAACACGTGCGGGTATGCACTGCAGATAATTTTGCCATGATTTTGTTTAGTCAGATTTTTATCAGTAGTCGATGGAGTTGCATCATCTGATACTCATTCTACATGATTTGATTGTTCTGTAAGCATGCACATGGATTCAAAACGTCTGCGCATTAAAATTGTCTCTAAGACTCTAAGCAGAGACTGAGAAGTTAGCGATCTACTTCGTTGATATATGTAGGCCCCAACTCTTTGACCAAAACCCAGTCAAAGTGATCCTGCATGATCCTGCATGTTGAAAGTTACAGTGTTCTGAGCTGTGAAAGGCATGTTAAAACTCATTTCAAAATTGATTTTAAATAACACAGTGATCATTACATACATGTAGCATTAGCAATCACTACTGCCATATGGTCTGGGAAAAGTTTTAAAATTCTTGATTAATGTGGATGATTTCAGTTACGGCAAATTCAAGTATGACCAAGCAGAGTCAACTTACTCCTAGAAGAACTGTGGGATTTGTCACACGGTCACATCCTTTGTGTGGATGAACCCCATAGTTCTAGGGGTACAGTACAGTGGTTCAACCAAAGTCACTGGAATGATGTTCAAAATAGTTTGGTTGACAAACCATAAAACTATCCACAAAAGGCTCTGAAATGCCCATAAAGCTGCAGATCTAAAATTGAAAACTAGGTTAAACAAGACATAAAGGTGCACATTTGCAACTACATTGAGGACTACATGACATTGCATGGTATAATGGATGCCTGGGTTCATTATGCAAATAGGTCATCGTCTTGCTAAAATCCAACGCTGGAACCATCTGAGAAGATGGGTCGACCTGAGAAGCAATAGGCCATGAGATATTACAAGTATGTACAGTAGGCCTAAGAATGTTGCACTTTGATGTCACTTCTTTTCATAAGTCATCTCAAGTCAAGGAAGGTTAATTATTCTTGCAAAAATACTCAAAAGACAGGACATCTGAAATTGAAAATGGTTTCAACTTCTGTGGATGTTACAGTTTCTGAGAATGTTGTCCACTCTCCATGAGTCAGACTTTATCCATTAACTAATGAAGAAGTAGAGAATGGATGCAAATTACAACCTTGGATGTACAGACTCTGACCTAATTCTACAAATACAAAAACTTACAAAAACACCCCCTCCCCCAAAAGATTTTCTCAAATGATCGACAAAATTCCACATTTTCAGTCTGCCTTAATGAACAAAATTATATAACTGGAACTTGTCAGACATGTACAGCTTAGTATATGTGGCATAGATACCCCTGTTGAAATTACATGGTCCAAAGTATACACTTTTTGAATGGATAAGAGGGGCAAAAAGGACCCGGTCCATTCCAGAGATTGTGGTTGCTACGCTCGCCGGGAACTTCTGTACATTACTGAATAGCACGAAGCGTAAATTTGCCTCTTTGCTGCATGCTAAATGTTCGTAGTGACATCATGCCGACTGCAATCATACAAAAGCTTGCCCCAAATCATGAGGTTTAGTCTGGGGAATTCAAGTTGTAATGTTATATTAACATGATTAATGTGCAATAAAATGACTCGGTGTACCAGATTTTATTTAAATTCAACTCACAAAAGGCTTATTTGACTAATTTTGAGGTTGTGCAAGGCTCAGCACAGCAGCCATCTTCACTCAGTCATGCCAGTCGGTGCTTTTGACATGCAATGTTATGGGGGATAAGCACAAAAGATCTATTCATGCCCCCATGGAACAAAACAATGACCGGGAAGATGGCTGCCTAGCCCCACTACTCACTAGTGTGGGACGGATCACTCCCGATTTATCCTTAAGATAAATCGGGAGTGATCCGTGCCACACTAGTGGGGCTAATGGCTGCCGTGCATTTATTCTCAAACTAAGTTGGGGCATTCCTTCCTCCATGGTTGGGGCTACCTCCATGGTTGGGGGTAATCGTGCAAATATGGCAATGCCTAACGCCGGTTGCACAGTAACGTTTAGCAAAGGCTTACGTCCCCCTACCAGCATAAGTTGCAGGTGTATTCATCTTCCGACCTTCACAGACGACGATTTTTCTCCTTGCCATCAGCGATCCTGCATGTCCTGCACTCCTCTACACTTGAATAAACCATGAATAAACTACCTGTACTTCATCGCTAGCTACAGAACACACGAGGAGCCCGCGTGATGCTGTTGTGGGATGTAAATACCAACACTGATTCATTTAATCTTCGTCTAACCACACACGACGTGCACAAGTACACGTGACGAGGCATGTGATTTATCAAGGCGCTGACGTGATGAACAGAAACGCACCNCCTGGCCGACTCGCCCCCTTGGAACGTCAAGCAAATATGGCCGGCCCAATGTAATAAAAAAAACAAAAAAAACAATGGTTCTAACCAACGATGCGACACGAACGACTCACGGACGGTGATGGATATTTGGACATCACCACTAATCACTTATTTATTCAAACGCTTCCTACGTCCGCTGTCTGATTAGGTTATTTGTACATCCAACATACCCTCAGGATCAACAACTTCGAACCCTCTGTCCCATTAATATTTGGGTATGTGACTGTATCTTCTTGAAGAGACCCGATATCCAGTTAGTTAGTTAGTTATAGTGTTCTTTTGCGTCGCCGGGCATTATGCCTAATATGTACCATTTTTTTACCTGAAATAGTTTGCAAAGTTAATTAATATGGTAGGGTGTTGGTGTTGTGGCGCACGAAATCCCATACACAGTACACAGGAAACGCTGCGCCATGGCCCATACACACGATAATACTGAATTAGTTTTACCAATTTAAAAAAAAAATTGTTACCCCCAATTTCACACAAAGGGAATATCCACCAAGCTTTAAACAAGCTCAAATTTGAGTGCCAGCTGCAAACCCCAGAACCTATTTTTAAGGGCAGCAATCACCGATTCCATCTCTGACTGATTGTAATTTTTTTTTAAATGGTGAATGGGCCAGCCATACGTGCTTGGCAAACTTAGGGGGTGAGTCGGTCAGGCGGCGAGTCGGTCAGGGGGGCGAGTCAGTAAGGGGGCGAGTTGGCTAGGGGGCAAGCTGGTAAGGGGCGAGTCGGCTAGGGGGCGAGTTGGTAAGGGGCGAGCTGGTAAGGGGCGAGTCGGCCAGGGGGCGAGTTGACCTACAATCACCGGGAAGATGGCTGCCTAGCCCCACTAGTGTGGCACGGATCACTCCCGATTTATCCTTAATCGGGAGTGATCCGTGCCACACTAGTGGGGCTAATGGCTGCCGTGCATTTATTCTCAAACTAAGTTGGGGGTAATCGTGCAAATATGGCAATGCCTAACGCCGGTTGCACAGTAACGTTTAGCAAAGGCTTACATCCCCCTACCAGCATAAGTTGCAGGTGTATTCATCTTCCGACCTTCACAGACGACGATTTTTCTCCTTGCCATCAGCGATCCTACATGTCCTGTACTTCTCTAGCTCTAACCATGAATAAACTACCTGTACTTCATCGCTTGCGACAGAATACACGAGGTGCCCGCGTGATGTTGTTGTGGGATGTAAATACCAACACTGATTCATTTGATCTTCGTCTAACCACTCACGACGAGCACGAGTACACGTGACGAGGCATGCGATTTATCAAGTCGCTGATGTGATGAACAGAAACNGTCAAGAGAGGGCGCTATGAAGAAACTTCAGCACACTGCACCACCATCTCAGTACAGCTTGCATGCTGCATGCGAAACACCTTTTACTCGAACCATCACAAGAACTGTTGCGGGTTTGCACGTAACTATTTTCCCCTCTATAACAGAACCATAAACCGACTCGAAAAACTTTTCAAAAAGCTGGAAATAGCAGTTTATCGTCTTAGTTTTGACAATGCCAGTTGTAGATCATCATCATGTAGATCTCTGGACGTTTTCACTGAACGTGTACAATGGTGTAGGCCTGGCATTAAGTTACCGGAGCGAAGGCTGCCATAGTTGACATTGTACACGGTCAGTGATCTTAATATGCATAAGTTCAACCACTAATGAAATAATACCAGTTTGGTTTTTGTCTTCCAGTTGACAGTGGGATGTAACACTGTACAAAAAGGCCTTCATCAAGTTTTGACCTCACTTCATCCAGTATGTTCTCATTTGACGTACTCTACGGGGCCAACACGGCAGCTAGCAGGATGTTTGGAGCTCGTGATGGCGTCCCTTCCCTCCTCGATCGCTGTGCCAGGTTCATCGTAACCTCCTGGCAGGTTACGCGGTCCACACTGAATATCCTGCCCCACGACCTTTACGAGGTGCTCCTGGGCGAGGCATGCCAGGCCCTCCTGTCGCACCGGTCAGGGTCGCCGGGCCTGTTCCTGACGTACCTCGTCCAGAGGTGGCCCAGCCCCGTCTTGCGGCCGGGAAATACAATTTCAAGATACAGGCTGGACATGCAAAGCCACAAGAAGACTTGGGAGCTCGTCATGCACATTGTGAATGGCATGTGTCAACCCGATGATCAGTGCAAACTCACACTATTGGACCTGTCAGATATACCAATTAGTGAGTTCGTAATTTGTCAACAGTATGCACATTTAATGTATATCTGTGGCATGGTTTGAGAGTAGATAGATCCAAACTTGACAGTATACGTATAGTTTCTGACACAAATCCTGACACAACTACTTTGTCAACGTCCAACACCTCATGGAGCTGTTACGCCCCAACTATAGCATAAGTCCCAACTATAGTTGGGACAATCCCAACTGTAGTTCTGCAGTTGGGCTGGCCCAACTATTGTTGACCAATGTCTGTGGGAAATGTCTCAACATTATCCAAGTCAATGTGTCTCACACTTGACACAATTCATCTAAAATGTGGCACTTCACCTGTTCATCTAGCCCTATGACCAGTGACGTGACATTTGTAAACAATATGACTTTGGCACATGCTGGGCACATCATGCACACAGGACCTCTCTGTTGTAGTTGGGCCAGCCCAACTGTAGCACTCTAGTTGGGACGGGCTCAACTATAGTTGGGACTGATGCTATAGTTGGGACGTAACAGAGCTAACATCAGTTATGCATCTCTAATCAGCCATGCGTGTTAGTTTTGCCTTACCTCCAACATAATTCAGTTGCCATTACAATTTCAGGCACTTTTTGAAATTTTGATCAGTATATTTATATGCCACCGTCATTTTTTGTGTTTAACAGGGAAGATGCTTTGGCATGCATGATTCACCTTTGTGACAATTCCTTTTCATTTCCCTTTCTCAAAGCATTAAGCCCAAAAGCTCCCAAATTTAGTCACACCTTAGAAAGGCCCCTAAAATGTACGAATCCCAAAGATCCTAGAGAAAAATTGATTCCCGTGAAATTCAGTCCTGGATCCACTCTTGGCTGTTCCATAGGATTTTCATTACAATTTGCCTCGATGACTACATTGCATTTTTCAGAATCCAACTTCTCGTTTTATTTTCTGCTCCATTTTAGATGGCAGTACGTGCCTCAATGTTCTTCAAAAGATTTTTGCATCGCTCAACAGCAGGAGCCTGACTGTCGTCATGGACTTGTCCCTAGACTCTGAAAATTACCACCCAGTCAGGCGCTTGCTCAGAGAAGTACGTCATTCCAAAGTTGGCAGCTTGAAGGTGCTGTGTCGCAGGCTGGTCTTGAACTCCTTAGGAAAGGACAGGCTGCTTAAAGTGCTCAGTGGTGAAGAACCAGAGGTCAGTTCACATGCCTTTGGACACATCTCTTGTCATCGCTGACACCACAGACTGTACTTGAGCGTGCACTCCTTTCGCACCAACTTGACAAAGTTCCATAATTTTGACATTTGTTGAACTGTAACTGGGCACTGCTTGTGCACATTCAGTGCATTTTTACCGGGTATTTTCACAAAGTAAAACTTTCTCAGTCTCCCACGTTGAAAGATTTCAAGGTAAAATTTTTCTTTATAGCCCTCTAGTATAAATGGGGTGAATTTGTGTAACACGCTTGAAAAGCATTTTTATCCAGATGGTCTACCTACTTCATGCTTCTTGTAAATAGCAAAGTTATGCAGGTTTCATTGGTTATTTAAAAAGGAAATTCTGAAGGTGTTTCTTATTCTAACTTTCTCCAGCTCATTGTTGCCTTAAATTTGGAGATGAACCCTCTTGAAAACCAGGGGCTCGCAGCTGTTCTACCCTCCTTGGTCAAGTTCCCTAACCTTCAGGCCTTAAATTTATCATACAACCTGATCATCACAACCAAGGACCAGACTACGGGGCCAATGGTTGCGCAGGCATTTTCCAACTTGAAGCAGTTGCGGAGATTGAGTCTCAGCCACAACATCCTCACTGGATCTCTCAGAACACTTTTGGAACCACTCGCCCAACCTCTACAAGCCCTTTACATCTGTGAGTGCAAGCTGTCGTCCTCAGATCTCGCCTATCTGGCCAACTCCCGTCACGCCAGGAGCCTGCAGGAGCTGGATCTGGGCTTCAACAACCTCAAGCAGGAAGCCATCAATTTGGAAAAGCTCCTTGATGCAGCGGGGGACACGCTCCGTTACCTCAGCCTGGACAACACCCGTCTGAACCAGACAAACTCCCCAGTGAAGCTGTGGGCTCGTCTGAGTCGACGTCTCCGCAAACTGGTGGCAGTGTCAATGAGGGGCAATGATTTCTCCCCCGAGGACCAAGTGGCCGTTTTAAAAAACCTTGCCAAAAATGGCCACTCAGTGGTGTACATTGGAGTCTGCATGGTGTACGAGCCTGACATAGATGATTTCTTCATGGACAAGTGGGATGTCGGCAACGATCGGGTGACGCAGTTCTTCGAGCTTTACAATGCATGTGGTGAGCCCGAGGAACCAGACATGTCACTGAGCAAAAACAAGACACGTAGTGTCATTGTCCATGATCTTGATGTTGTCAACAAGCGGGATGCCTTAATATTCATTCACAATCTTGAGGAAGAGTGCAATCCTTAAACAGATGAGGTCAAAATTACCTAATTATTATACCCTATGCAGTTTTTCTGTATGAAATGAATGCACAGCTGTGTACACCTTTTTACAAAATCCTTGAGACTCCACAAATTACCTTATCATAACTGGGACCTTGTACTACCGCTTTTGAAAGCAAAGAATACAGAGACTCTGTGATCTCAAATTTATCTTGTGAGCAAGGTGTTGTATCAACAGTAAATTACTATCAGTGTTCGACTGTGTAGTGTTTCTAATTTCATTACTGTTGAGTTTGGGACAAATTGGGCTTGAAAAATTGAATTCTAAAACTGTGCTTATCAAGAATTTTTGTGGTGTTGAATGTAATTAGAAGCTCCAGGCTTGGGTTGGTCTGTTTTTAGGTTTTTTTAAATCTTTTGTTTTACGGTTGAACAGGTACATGTATTAACAATTTCAATTTTGTAGAAGTTTGCAGTCTCTTGAAATGTATGGACTAAAGGCCAACGTGGCAAGAATGAGGGTACATAATTATCTATTTATTATTAAGCACTGTGGCCAAGTATATCATAAGCCATCCAGTTTCAAGTTCATCACACGCTACATACATTTAAAAAGACCCGTGACAAAAGCATTCCCTTGTCATTGTTCAAGGTGGTGCTTGGGACAAGTTGTCTTACTGAAGACTTGTAGCTAGACTTGTGAGGGACCCAGCTACAGTGCTGATCATTAGCGTTGCAAGTTTGCACCCCTGCCCCTGGAGTGCCATTCACTATAGAGGCTTTGCGTGGTAGCCATCTTGCTGGGCAGTTTTGTTCTACACGGGAAACCTTTGTGCATACCCCGTGGAATAAAAGTGCTGGCCCACAAGATGGCAGCCATGCAAGCCTTCAACAAGGGATTACTTTGAATGTTGTTCATGTTAAATCTGATCTTCAACGAGTACACAGGAACGTGCATTTGCCATGTTTACAAACTTGTTTCTCTGTGTTTGTTTATTAAACAGACTGACACTAGATCAGGTATTCTATCTCTGCAGACATATCTTTATTTCTAATTGCAGGGCATCAAACATAAGTTATCAAACAGACCATAACTTCCATTTTAGGTAAATACTGCAGAAGTTGTGTATGTTCCACTAAATGTACATATAAAAGCAACATTTTTCTCGGGAGTCTCCCTTTGTAGTTAATGTAAAGATGACCAGCTTGATGATAATGTTCCTCTACTGTCATTAGGGCAATGATTAATTGCATTTCTTTTAGATACTTGTGTTGATATAAGAAATGACACAGACTAGAGCTAAACTTCTGCATTAAAAAAACCAAACCGTGGTGAATAAACCTTATTTAAGACTTACTTCAGTCATTCTCAAATTACAAAAGCAATAAGAATTACATTTTGTATGGCATTTCAAACAAGAAAAAGGGATGTTAAGATCTTCAGAGGATCCCCAAATTACCCCAAATATAAAACATTTTCAAGGAAATATGTACACACACTAACAAAATGGTTAAGAAAACCCTATCTGTACATAATTCAAGTCTATTATCTGGGGAACAATATGAAAGTACATATCTAATGAAGCTGGTAGTGGTATTGTTCAAAATCACATTAATGCCAAGAACAGAAACATAATGTCGACATTTTACCACTAGAAATGTTAAACTTGCGTCACTCTACCTCCGCAGCAAGCTGACACGGTTTGATAAAAAATTGCTTTCTGTAGTGACAGTTGCTTTTTAAATCAAGTTCCGGTCTCACAGGTACATATACTTCTACTTGGACATAAACAAGAAGTTTTCTTGATTGTCTTGAAGCTGGTCTCTGAATCAATCCACTCAAGAAGGAAATGTGGCAATTTTTGTTTCAATCGAGGCATCATGTTCTGCACGAAGAATACAATGAAGTACTGAAACACTAAACCACCAAAACACCGACAAGTCTCCTTTGAAGTATTAATCACAAAGAAGCATTGAACTCAGCGAGAATACAATGCAAATTGCAACCATATCGAAACAACTAGGCTACACAAGATATAAAATGCTTTTGGGGGGGGAACACTCAGGAGCAAACTGATAAATCATCATTGGTGCAGGGGCCAATTCTGAGGTATTTTAAACAAAATTGGTGATTTTCATCTCTTTTTCTCCTCGCCCTGTCTTTTCCTGGTTTTGTTACATTCTTGCCATCACCTTGTGACCACAAACAGGCAAGAGGCCTACTTCCCTTGACAGTACTGTTAACATAATCCAGCACTGCAGTCACCCAATTGTGTGTTCCCTGAATTGAAGTAAAAAAGAGAGCATCAAGCAACAGAATGTAAATTATGCAACAGTCTCTGAGTTCTGCTGTTCTGAAGCCACCACAATGCAGCAAAGCCAGGTGTTAGATATTGGCCATTTCAAAGGTTGTCATGGCAAGCAGAATACAGGTACACGTGAAGACTATTTGGCTGTCATAAATCAATCAAATTTGTACATATACGTATGATACAAATAATTTGAAGTCTAGTAAAAACCTTGTAAGCCCAACTGCAGTGGAGAGATTTTCATCTGAAAAGGAACTCAAGGTATTAATTCATTTGAAAGAAACACCAGGAATACACTGAAAATTAAACTGAAACATTTCTCAGGATGCTTCCACGATTCCAGGCAGCTTGCAATGCCTTTTGTTAATCTCCACGGCAAGGACTTTTCATCCTCGATTTGGCTACAGCCCGATATTTACAGGCCAAAACAAAAGATGAAATTCAACAGACAGCTTAGTCATTCAATAAATATTACAACACTATCTCACTACATCACTAGATCTGGAATGAATACCGAGTAATTATGAGCACTTCCACACAGTCACGGCCATGTTGCCTCCAAAGAACAGGTAAAGGATATTTTTGGTCTCGTGGGTGATTTCGAAGCCGTAGCCTTCCCCGACGATGGCGTGCCAGGAGGACCCAAACTTCTTATCCATCGCTTCCTTGATCATTTTAGCAGCAGTCTATAAATGAATTATAATGAACCAAAACGAAAATATCAAACTGAAATTTGCATCGTTTGACTAAAAACTAATTCAAAAAAATCTATATATTTTTTGGCACACCTGTCATACATCCTTCAACCACATTAAATTAGGGGCACTGTGCATGATAGGCCTAACATTGTGTCCAAACCTGGCAACTACATCAAATTTGCAATTTAAAGTTTTTGCACTGTTTTGTTTATTCTGTTTTTCAGCACGAAACATTTTTGCTAAATTGGAAAGTTCAAAAGTAACCCGGATATCTGCAATTTTCTGTCCATTTGTTTCACCCCCATCAAAAAGTGAGGCTCATGATTAACTGGCCAATCCCTCTGCTCAATAAGTGGGACAAATCTTCCCCACCCCGTCCCCCAACATTTACACCCCTGAATACAATGAACAGATGTCGTCATATCAGATTACCCACGACCAAGAGAAAACGTTACACAAAAATCAATTTACCTCATTGTTGCTGGAGAATTTTTCACAAGCTGTGACGCACAGCTCTACAGCTTCAGTACGCATCTCTTCATTCATGTCTGAGTGCTAAGAAAACAACACAAAAACCATATCACTTTGCTTGCTACTTTATGAATATCAGGATTCAGTTACAATTATCCCGTTAATCAATATTTCTGAGGTCCGTTTTTGTGTAAGGGGAAGAGAATCTGGATGAAAGAGCAGGGCTTCATCCTGCTGCTAATTCTGGATCTACCTTATTGGAGACTTTGAAGCCTTAGTTTGTTGATCTGAGCGGTGAGAAAGGGACCTTGTGTTGGATTCAAAGTTTACCTCACCGCTGAGAAGAGATTCTAATACAGACATTGTTGATTTTCCCTACAGTGGTATATCAGCCATAAGAAAGCAATAACATGCATGTCTTAAATTAAAGATTGAACCGGGGCAAGATGGCAAACTTCACCGTGAATACACGTAAAACATTGTAATTGCACGAGCGCCATTTGAGCAAGCGATATGCCTGCGCAATGCACATTAATGCACAGGCGCAGGCGCCGCGGTAGGCACGTGCACCTGGTGAGCCTGCGCCCAAGCATTATCGTAAACTGTGCAGGCGTATCGCTTGCTCAAATGGCGCCCATGATAATTACATCTTTTGGGCAGAGTTATCCATCTTGCACCTTCGGCGCTATACGATCTTAGTCTTAAAACAGCCCTACTACTAGCATGGCCAGGATATAGAGGTTATGTGTTGTCAGAGCCTTGAAGACTCTTGTTATTTCAACTTAATAGTTACAATGAAAACACAAAAAGGTTTACTTGAGCCTATCCAAGTGAACCAAAGACCTTGCTGTCCAACTCCACCTTAATGCATTTATGAACTCTATTGCAAAGACAGAGCGCATCATTAACCTGACCATACTGGTAGGGCTACGAAGCATTTACTCAGAATTTTTCAGGACAGTCTCATAGGGGTTGTGCATAGGGTGTCAAATGACGTCCTTGTATGGAACTCTATCCCTGTATTTTCTTACAATCGCCAAGACTGTAGTTTGTAGATTTATACATTTATCTTAAGTTTCATGTTTCCTGTGCAACATTCTCCTCAACGAAATTTAAAAATATAATCTTACAGACAATGGATGATCAACATCTGAAATGTTTTCAGCAAATTTATGTTGTCAACTGTAATTTCAGCCCTCAAATAAGCCAAAGTGGAAAGGGTTCCATACACAGACAACACTAATTTTCCCTTAAAATGCTATAACAACCATCAAAAATTCCGAAGCACTGACTTAGAAAAAGGTTAGTGTACAGAACTAGGGGCGTGTACTGTCCGTATGGAACTCTTTCCACAATATTCACCTAAACTAGGCCTAAGCCTACATGTACAGCTGCTAGGGATTAGGCCTACACACGTTAAGGAACAGGGTCAAAATGTCAGTTATTTTGTAAAAGCAGACTTTGTTTCCAATTATATGAACGAGGGAATCCCCAAAATCACTCAAATTCGATGACAAACAAGTTACTAATGGGCCTACCAGGGCTTAGATTACTTCAAGAATTGTAAGTGTTAGGCACAACCCTTGTGCACGGGGTTGTGCGTTACAGTTTTGGAGGTCATGGAGGTATATGCAGAATGATCCCTACCCGAATGAGTGGATAGCTCTGCAAGCGTCTAAAATCAGTCTCCTTCTCTTCTTTCTTCCCTTCCTGAGGTTCGTCCATTCTTAAATTTGTGGCTATGCTCAATATCCTTCAAGTTTCAAACAACTTCTATAAATAAATTGCAGAATAAAGTTGATTTTTACGAAATAAAAACAACCACGATACTCCGGCCTGTCCAAAATTTTGTTGTGGTTACCGATGCAAGTACGCAAGCGCAGAAGAACGTTTGTCGAATCAAGATGGCGGCGCCCATGATTCATGCTGGAAAGTTGTTTGGAGATTTTCCCCGCAAGTAATTTAGTATTGTGAGAAAGTAAAACACAATTATTTCAAAATATCCTTTGAAGAAATCGAAGTATATTTTTATACTACAGAGTATATTCTACATTGTTAATACTGTTGGAAAGCTGCCTTATAGAACTTGTCGTCAGTTTCAGTTTCAGCCGCAGGCGTATCGCGATCGATAGTGCATAAGCCTTCGACCCCTGAGGGCGCTACAGCACAAAAACAGGAGGCCTGCATGCATGCAGCTAGTGCTGCAACCTGTTGGACAAAAATGCAAAATATTGCGTGCAGTCGCGCAGGAGCATATCACAGCCATGACAGCACATGATGCAAGCAGAGTGATGGCAAATGTGCCAGTGCAGACTGACGAAGTATTTGAAGAAATTCACAAAAAGTGGGAAAGGTATGAACAATGAATCAAGGAATGAGTTCCATAGGCCTGTATGCATGATATACGGACGCCGCGCCGCTTGAGACCCAGCACATGCCCATGGCCTTTGCACGAACCCTGCCTGAGGTTGGTCTGAACAATTCCAAATCCAAGTGTGTTTTCTCGACTTGGTTTTTTCCTTCCAAAAAAATTGAACTGGCGACCATTTTAGTCCGAGCATAGTCCGAGGAACTTGGACCCTATAAATCGCTTTTTTTAACATTTTGATATGTTTGGGCAATAGTAGGATGACCATATCCAAATGTTAAAAAAGGCAATTTGTAGGGTCCAAGTTACTTTGACTACGTCCGTATATGGAACTCTTCCCACAATCAATCGCAGGAATTAGGCCTACAACTGGGTCTAGCCTAGTACTAGTAGTAGTAGGCCTAGGCCCTATTAGTATTAGTTGATGTACCCTAGGTAACGTGGCACGGCCCCTAATGTGGCGCACTTGCATTATTTGCCTCTCGTGTCTTACTGGAGCAATATTTTTACCTCTAATTCCACAGTTAATATAAGTTATGAAAACTTCATCAATATTCTGATTCATAAATCATGGTATTATGTACATGCTACAATTATTGAAAACTCCTGATGAAATTTTTATTTTCGGCCGATTTTTCCAATTTTTTCTGATGGCAAAATGAATACTTTCAAAATGTACACAAAACTACAAAAATAATTTTTTGACAAAGGAAGGAATGTTGCTTTACAAGAATTTGATCAACATGAAAGAATTTTGAAAATGTTTATGTAGGATTTTCTGAGATTTTTTAAAGTGCGCTTTATTAGGAAACACTCGGCTGAATTTGAGCCCAATTCCAGATGCCGACATTTTTGGATTTGAGACGAAATGTCATGACACTGGAATTATTCAGAGGTTCAACACCATGTACCATGAGGGCTGTAGTACGAGTATTTAACCTAATGACTTTGCAGTTTTTCAACAGAAAGGTTTGGCAAACGCTGTGAGAGGAAAGTCAAGTGAAAGTTGAAATGTGCCAGGTCAGGGGACTATACTATATAGGCTGGGGCGGACATCCGGAACTTTCCCAAAATGGTGGATAGCAACCACATCGCGCTGGTGAAAACTACTGCAACCATGACGCCACGCGCGAACCAGCTAGTTAGAGGATCAGGCTACTCAGTCTTTTCTTTGATCAGTACGTACACGCATGCACGTCACAGTTTTCATCGGCATGGTGTGGTTGCTATCTGCCATTTTGCCAAAGTCCCAGATCCCCCCCCCGCCTATAGTAGAGTCCCCTAACGTGGCGCACTTCAAGATTCACTTGACTTCCCGCACACAGCATTGCCAAATCCCTTCCTTGAAAAACTTAAAACTCATTTAGTTATAAACTGGTACTATTATCTTCATGATGCATGGTGTTGAACCTTTGTGAATTATAACAGTGTCATGAAATTTCATTCGAAATTCAAAACTCTCAGCATCCAGAAATGGGGCTCAAATTCATTTCAAAAGAGTTCATTTCGCATGTCGGGAAAAAAAATTGGAAAATCAGGCAAAAATAAAATTTCATCCACACTTTGTAGCAGATATGGTATGTAAAATCAAGATTTTGAATCAGAATATTACAAGTTTGATGAAGTTTTATTGATTGTGAAATTTGAGCTTAAAATATTGCTCCATGAAAACACCAGAAGGGAAAATTAAAAGTGCACCACGTCAAAGTGCAGCAACATACACGCATGGAGGTTGGAAAAAACAAGTACTACGTCTATGTGGACTGGAAAGTCCACTGCTGACAGGTCAATGATTGCTGTAGCCTAAAATTTTCAAAACATGCAAAATGTTTTCTGAGTTCCAAGTCCAAGTTTGTCTGTTGTGATGACCACCACTCTCCTTGGTGGCTTGTTCACTGCACAGTAGACTGAGGCAAACATTTTTATTGGATAGATTGCAAACCTGCCCTTCGCCCCCGAACCCCTGTATTTGTCGTCTGTGGGAGTAAGGTGGATGAGGAATCCTAGAGTACCCACCGACTCCGAGTAATGCAGTATTGCAAAAAAAGAAAATTAAAATTGACATTTTCTCTTGATGGTTTTGAAGTGTTTTGAAAAAAAAATTGACTGAATTAAATTCTTGGTTTCTCCTCCAAAGTCAGTTGTGATTGTCTGAGAAAAAAAAATGGAACTTTATGCTTTCATTTTTTTGTGTTGTCTGAATTCCAACCCTGCAAAATTTCGTGCTATATTTGCAATCCAATAGAAAAATGCCAGCCTAAACTGCATTAGGCCCTTAGGACCAAGGTTTGAAGTTTGCGTTCACCATCTGCACACATGAAAAATTCAGTACGTCAAATAATACGAGGCCTATTCTCGGTACTTTCAGAACACCTCCACATTGTTTCAGTCAGGTTTTCATCTCCTCCAGAGGTCTACATGAGTCAAAAGTTGCCTTTGAAGCTTAAAAAAATCTTCCTTTTATACAACAGGAGGATTAAGGAGTCTTTTGAGGGGGATGTTGCTAGAATTCAGAAAATGAATAGTAGTTTTGAGATGCGAGCCCCCTCCCACCTTTGTTCCTTTTATTACCATCATTTCAGGTATATTAAACAAGAAATTTTCCTTCGTACAGTTTACTTTATTGATACAGTAATCATGAAAATACACCAAAGGTAGTTCTTTTTGTGTGAAACTTACCATTTTTAATACAATTTGTACAGTGAACAGCAAGAATTGAAGAAGAAACTGGTGTTGGAGAATACAGAGTCCTGGCAGTCGGATTTGGATGGCCTCCGTTGCGTCGGAGGTGTTGATGTATCTTTTGTCAAAACGAGTTCCACCCTGGCCTGTGCATCGCTGGTAGTGTGTGATTACCCAGATCTGAAGGTAAAATGCAAAATCATGAAGCCGGACCAGCTGGTTTTGTTGAAACTTGGTGTAACTTTGCACCACGCAGTGCTTATTTGCACAAGCTTTATGTGACACATTTGTGGTGTAGCTGTGCTGTGCACAAAAAATTTATTGCCTTTAACGTTTTATAGCCGCAAAAAACTCAGCATGGCGTTAGCATCTTGGAGGACAGTCACAGCTTTTACGACAGTTGTGACAGTAAGAATTAACACCAGTCATGAAGCAGCCATTGAATTAGCTTAACTTACCATTTTGAGCAAATATGTCATCCGAACTAGGGCATCAATTTTCAAGGCTTGCTAAGTCTTAACTTCGTTCAGGCTTTCTCTGCATTGAAATGAACACCATGGCTGTTCAAAGCCACCTCCTGGCTGGTGCTGCATCTTCGTCTTTATTTGACCTTCACAGAAGGAAGAAATGTTATAACAAGCCCAAGTTGTTAATTTTTGCCTGTTTTCCATACCAGCCTGTGCAGGTAACATGTACCCCCTCCCCAGACTGGGGACGGGCGGCTTTGATTTAAGCACTTTGGCCCCACGGACTCCTGCTTCTCCAGCGTCATTTATTGCTGTCAGCACGTCAAGTGTCTCCATTAACTCCCGACTTTAGTGTCTCAAGTCAGTTTTGTGTCTTGTCATATGCCTCTCCAGGTAATCTACTCTGACTGTGAGCTGGTTCACCTTGACACTCCTTACATACCTGGCTTCCTAGCATTCAGAGAAGTTAATTTCTTCCTCAACCTCCTACACAAACTGAGGGACAAAGAACCCAACTTAATGCCTCAGGTAGCTATTGGGATTTGGGCAATTTTTCACCATATTCTCTATTGGGGAGTAGAACTTTGGATATCTTCTTCGTCACTTGCTCCCATGGATTTTTCAATGGGAACTTGTCTGAATCCTCCGAAAGCCAACACGGCAAGCAACCAATATTTTCTGTATAAAAAAGCAGTACGCCAATCGCAGCATTGTGCATCGGACCAGGCTCCACTCATGTTTGGGACCATTTCCACGTACTGAACCGGTTCTGATACTTGTCACCAACACTAGCCAGTTAACGTTGGATTTTTTTTACCCTAAAAAGCTTCTGGGGGTGGGTTTTTCACCCGCATATTCTTCAACCTTGCAATTGCACTTTGACCCAACCAAGCATGACAGGTTAATGCGTCAACCCCGGAAATGAAAAAAGATTTGGTAAATGTGTGTACACATCCTCTGTGAAACAAATAAGGAAAATTTGTCATCTGGCATCAAGTGGTTAACAGTTACTTACAAACCTCTAAGACAGTGAAAAAAAGCTTTGAAAGTTTTTGTCCAGAAAGTTCGAAATAAAAGCCATATTGTGCATATTGGTAATTTATTACATTTGACCAAAAATTACCACTGTTTCAAATTTAAGTTTTTTGGATCAAATCAAACGTGCTATCCAATGCTGACAACTTGGTGAGATCTTTCTGACCTAATCTACAAAGGTGTGAAAAGCAAGAGAATCATGATGATCTCCTTGGGCAAAATTCAAAAAGGCATTTTCTTGTTTTCAGGAAGGGACAAAGGTGTGCTCCATAAACATTACGCTAAGCAGTGAAAGGCCAAACTGGCGCTACCTGAATTTGTTTTTCATTTACGCAAAGGAACAAATCCAACTCTGAAACCAACACGCACAATGGCAACAGCATGCGAATTGCCAATACCATCTTCCTACTTGTAGTTTTTGAGTTTTTACAAAGAAAAAAAATTATGTGAATATTACCAATCCTTAATTACGGTCAAAGTGAAGATTGGACAGGACAGTTTCTCATTTTTTATGGTATTTTAAGATATATGCATTTGTGACAGGTATTTAATTATCTCTTGAAATTAATTCTACACGGATTCTTTTCTCTCATAAGTGATCAACTTCAAATGCAGTTTTCTTGCTGTTAAATTATACGATGGATAGAGGAATTTGCTTCTGTGTGAAGAGAGCGACGAGTCGTTCATACTCTTTATGGCTTAGCCCGTTTCTGTACTAATTATGAATATGCATCCCCCCAAAGGCAACAATAGCTGGGCTTTCTGGCAATTTCTGTGATTCTGCTAAATCTTTGAAAGCTTCCTGGTTTGATGTTTTCATGTTTTTTTTTTGGGGGGGGGCTTCTATGCACTACGTGCTGTATTTTGGGAGATTATGATTCGTTGTTTTGGTTGCTTTCTACCTGTATGCTGTTTTGCATGAGGACAGTTGATATATGTCACTTCACAGCAGTGCACAGGTTTTACATATATCGTTAAGAAAAGTCAGGAAATTACAGTTGGCCTTTATAACAGTTTGTAGAGGTTATGCGCGGTAGCCATCTTCCAAGTCAGTGCTTTTGTTCCATTGGGATACACATGAGCAGATCTTTTGGGCATGTCAAAAGCAAGTCACTGGCCGGAAATAATGGCTGGCATGCATAACCCCTGTATACACTTGATTTCAGGTCATTCTAGTCGATGGCAATGGCATCCTTCATCCAAGAGGTGAGAGAACCGGGATAGAACAGTAATACAAGTAAATGTATAGCCTGGCTTGAGGGTGGATGGGCGAGGCAAAGTAGCAGAGCAAAGGAGGTGGTTTGTCAGCCAGGGGGACCTTTAGTGTAGCAGGAGTGTTGCAGCACCTACAGCAACCCCTCCCCTCCCTTCCTGCCATCTTGAATATCAACTTAAAATGACTGTGTGGTATAGAGCACCTATCGCCCACGATTCCCTGGCCCTGTACTTTAGAATTACACAGCACCCGTCTTCTTTGTAGGAGGCTAAATATACAAACGTGATCTGGCTATCTGTATGCTGTGTACACGGGTATGACTGAAAGGGTTCAAACGTCAAGCGCAGCTCGACTCGCCTCTGACTGAAAACACGCTAATCCCCATTTAGTTTTGCAAACGTACACGCACAATCACAGTTGGAGAAGTCTGAGGAGGTGGAATGTGTATATGCCGTCCGAGACGGTTGCAAATATTGCTCTGGGGACATGCCCTGGAGTGTTGAGAAATATGAGGTTGCGGTAAGAAATTTGCAAATACTCTTCAGGTGACTCTTTGGTGGTTGGCTGTGCATGAGAAGTTGGCCGCCCTATTTGGCCTTTCTGTGCAAGTAGTTAGAAGTATCAAGATTGTACTGTGGCTCCTATTAACTGCATTCTGTCTGGAATCAAAGTTTACTTTCCTAAGTATTCTTGTTCTGATCCCCTCAGGTTTTGGCATAGCCAGTCACCTGGGTGTACTGAGTGGCATACCGTGCGTGGGCGTGGCCAAGACACTGATGCAGGTGGACGGCATCGCCAAAAATGAACAGTTTGCAGAAAAGGTAGGTCTGGGTTCTAATGTTTGACTTAGATGGATTTAGAAAGTTTTCTGTCAAAAGTGGCCATGGGGTCAACAATTTAACATTAATTTTGGATTTTTTGCCTTGCATGACGTGTATTTTAACACTGTATACTAGGGGAAGGCCCAGAAGGCTTGTGAAAAAAAACCACAAGCATACTCCTGTTGGACTCGAACCCACGACCTCCTGCTTACTAGTGTTGAAATACACGTCGGGCAGGGCAAAAATCCAAAATTTATTTACACCTCCCCGGCGCAAATCCATCTTTGAAACAAATGAACAAATTCAAGTCATAGGATGTAGAAGCCCAATTTGCCCTGACCACGAATGGGAGGACCTATCAACAGGCTACAGCCAAGTCTGTATGTAGTACCTGGTGCTGTCTATAATCATTTCTGCACTTCAACGATTTCCCTTGGTTTGGTCCAAGTTGTAGAAGTTCAAACTAGTCCATGGACGTGAAACATGTATGAAACCCCTCAAGCATCCGTGTGTTACGACCCGACATTGTAGCAAATATCGCATCAGTGCTTTGTCTTAGGGTGTTAGAAAAAAAAAAGGCAACAGTGTGGCAGCAAATGTCACACAGATCTGGAACAAATTATTCTCAAGGGTCATCGTCCCTATGTTAAACTCCAACTCGGTAACAGACTCTGGCTTCAGTGACTTGTTTCAAAAGGTCAGAATTTCTGTCCCAAACTAACCTGTGCCTGGAACGTGTTCATTGCTTACCTAGTACCAGCATCAACAAGTCAAGCCAACAGATTCATCAGTGAACAAGGTCACTTTGCTGAGTCCACTGTATTCAGTTTTACCCATTCGGGTATTCGTATCATTTTCATCCACAGTGTCTGTGCAAGCTTTTCTCCTACACTAATCAGGCATTCCATCGCTTACAAATGCCCATTTGGTGTTACACCTTCTCGGTAGTCATTAGAATTACAGTTATAACCTCGTCAATAAGAGCACTGTTCATATGTAATGTTAACGTACGTGGTATTATGTCCACAGTTGTCCGTTATTTCAATCTTGAGGATCCGTAATAAGTATTACATGTTTATCACATGCCTGCAGAATCTTACATCGGAGCAGCATATTTCTGGCATTTTTGATTGTCCTCCCACCTTAGCGCTATTGGTTGTTGGAAGTAAAAAAAAAATTCTTCACAATTGGCCGTAAGTTTTTTTCTCACCCAAAAAGTGTGGGATGTGTGATTTAATAGCTCATCCCTCCTGTCAAAAAGTAGGGGGATGTACCCCCATCGCCCCTGAATTTATGACTATATAAACTTTTAAAAATACATGTAAATTCTTTCGCAAATTAAAGTAAGTTGAATGACTAGTCAGGTAGTCTGAGTAACCAGGACTCTATGAATCACTTCTTTTAACATTTGGACATGGTCAGGCGAAAGTAGAGGCCAAGTGCCCTTCCTTCCCACTAATCTATTTCCCTCAACATACCCTGTACCCCAAATCAAAATCCTTGGATATCGCCCTCCAAAACAGGCGTCAGACTGTCTCATGTGCCCACTTAGGGATACAGTCGGAATTGAAGATTCAAATGATGGTGGTAAAGTTCACTTACATTTGGGAAGAAAAGAGAAAGTTTCCCTTCAAATTGAAATTGGAAATGTTCTTGTCTGCCAAGCTCAAAGTTGTTATCTTCACAATATCTGCTCAGGAGAGAATAAGTAGGCACCTGTTGTGTGTCCATGTGATAGACCT